CCATCGTTGGTGGGGAAGCACTTGGTTTGTTAGATCATCTAAATCTATCCATTTATGAATCGGAGGAATCCACTGTAGGGACTGCTGATGGTGTACAACAGCAGGTAGTGGGGTATGTATATTTTCCGGTTACTGTCGATGGTATCTCGCGTACGATTAAGTTTTGGGTAGTTCCATCTCTCAAACATTCAGTTATTTTTGGCAGTGATTTTTGCCGTCAGTTTGGCTTAGCGATTGATTTTTCTTCTTTTAGCTGTACGGCTCAGAGTAAGGATTCTATTAGGGCAGTTAATCGTCAAGATGATATCTTAGTGGCGGCGATGCAAGGTATTCGTTCACTACAGGACTTAAGTCCGTCTCAAATGTCACAGCTTCAGGAGGTCAAAAATCTCTTCTATGAGTTATCGTGGGAAAAAGGTACGAAATTGGGAAGAACCACACGAACCGTTCATTTTATAGATACTGGTAATGCGCGACCAATTAAGCAATGTCATCATCAGATCTCACCTTACATGCTGGTTCACCTCAATCGGGAACTAGACAAGATGTTGGAGTTGGGAGTTGTGCGGCCTTCATCGAGTCCTTGGTCCTCTCCTGTTTTATTGGTAAATAAAACAAACGGTGAGAAGCGCTTTTGTTTCGACGGTCGAAAACTTAACTCTGTGACCAAACCAGATGCTTACCCTTTACCTAAAGTCGATTACATCTTAAACATGTTAACTGGAGCACGGTATCTATCAAAAATTGATCTTAAGTCCGCTTTTTGGCAAATTCCCTTAGAGGATACGTCCTGGGAAAAGACTGCCTTTGTTGTTCCCTCTCGAGGGCTTTATGAATTCGTGGTGCTACCGTTTGGTCTGTCGAATGCTCCTCAGACTTTGCAACGTCTAATGGACCAAGTGTTAGGTCCTTCGTTGGAACCATATGTATTTGTTTTTTTGGATGACATTGTTATCTCGACACCAACGTTTGAACAACATCTTCAAGTGCTTAGGGAGGTTTACCAACGCTTGAAAGAAGCCAACTTAACCATCAATGCAGAGAAGTGTGAGTACTGCCTACCATCTTTAAAGTACCTTGGTTTTGTTGTGGATAAATCAGGTTTGCATACAGATCCAGAAAAAGTCGCCGCCATGGCGGAATTTCCTAAACCCCAAACAGTCACAGAAATGAAACGATTTCTTGGGCTCTGCGGCTGGTACAGGCGCTTTATTCCGAAATTTTCAGATTTCACCTCTCCTTTAACAGCTCTTCTCCTGGGCAAGAGAAAAAGAAATAGGTTGGTGTGGACGCAGGAAGCGGATAATTGTTTCCACCAACTCAAAAATGCCTTGATAAACGCTCCTTTGTTGGTAAGCCCAGATTTTTCTAAACCCTTTACCATCCAGAGTGATGCTTCGGATGTGGGAGTGGCAGCGGTTCTAACACAACCAGATAGCAAAGGAGGTGAGGTAGTGATAGCTTACGCTAGTCGCACTCTTTCGCCGGCTGAGAAAAAATATTCGGTAACCGAAAGAGAATGCCTGGCAGTTCTATTCGGGATAGATAAATTCAGGCCGTATATTGAGGGGGCAAAATTCACCGTAGTAACTGATCATCACAGTCTCCTGTGGCTTAACAACTTAAAGGATCCCAGTGGTAGATTGGCAAGGTGGGCAGTGAAGCTGCAACAGTTTGAGTTTGTTTTAGAACACCGAAAGGGTTTTATGAACGTGGTGCCAGATGCCTTAAGTAGAGCGCCACTGCCAGAAGTTGCTGTAATTCAGGTGAGGCCGGGAAACACAGATAAGTGGTACCATAGCATGCTTAAAAGTCTTAAGGAACGTCCAAACGATTATCCGGATTATTTAGTTAAGGATGGTGTCCTATATAAACATGCGAGGCCTCGGTATCGAGTCCCAAATGTCCTTCCAAGTTGGCGAATAGTAGTACCCAAATCACAACGGCTGGAAGTGCTTCGTGAATGCCACGACTCTCCTCTAGCAGCTCACCTTGGATCATATAAAACTCTAGAACGGATACAAGAACTCTATTTTTGGCCTGGCATGCAAACTGATGTTAAACGATATGTCTCTCGATGTTCAACTTGTTCAGCTCAAAAGGCAACTAATGTAGCTGCTCCCGGATTGATGGGTTCTTCTAAGAAGGTTACTTTCCCATGGCAATTGATTTCAATTGATATTCTAGGTCCTCTTCCTCGTAGTATGCAGGGACATTGTTATATTTTAATGGTCTGTGATTGGTTCAGCAAGTTCATTTTATTACATCCTCTTCGTAAGGCAAATTCCAAGTCAATTATCAAATTTGTAGAAGAAAACGTCTTTTTGATGTTTGGTGTCCCTCAAATCATCACCTGCGACAATGGTACTCAATTTGTTTCGCGTGATTTTCAGAAGCTAGCGGATTTGTACAAATGTAAGATTTGGTATAACGCAAAATACCATCCCCAAACAAACAGCGTAGAACGAGTGAACAGAGTAGCCGGGGCTGCTATTCGTTCCTACATTAAGGATAATAATCATCGGTATTGGGACGTCCATTTACCAAAAATTGGGTTTGCGCTTCGAACGGCCATTCATGAAGCCACCGGATTATCTCCTGCGTATATAAATTTTGGTCGGTACGTACCAATTTCAGGAGATTTTTATGACAGGAACAGCGACCCATCGAAAGTTGATTTAAGGAACCCTGACCGGAGCCAATATTTTGAAAATTTGGAGGGCTTGTCTGAAATCTACAAGACAGTGCGTCAAAAACTAACGGCCGCGTATAAAAGAAATTCTCACACGTATAATTTACGACGCCGTCCTGCTGATTCCTATCAAGTAGGTGACCGGGTGTGGAAACGCAATTATGTACTTTCAGACGCATCAAAGCACTTTTCCAGTAAACTGGCTCCAAAATATGTTCCATGTATCGTCACCAAGGTTATCTCTCGTCTCGTATATAGATTAGCGGAGGCTGAGAGTCATCAAAACCTAGGAAACTGGCACGTTAAAGATCTTAAGCCGTTTCGGGGTGATGATCGTGGAGACAGTAGTACCGACGAATGATTTTTTTAAGTCTATGTGCCTGAGAGAGAGAATATGACGTATGAGTGATCTCGTGTATGTGGTATGAATCTGGTGAGTGGATGAGTACGATTTTTTTTCCGACTCAGAACAATTTATTTTTTTCCCAATTACGACGTGTGCACACAATAAAACCCTGATTTTGACAATTTCTTCTCGATTCTGACGTTTACTTCCAGATTTTGACATTTGATTCTCGATTTTAACATTTAACTTTGCCCTTCGTCGATTAGCAGTCAGAGGTTTCATGTTCTCCCGATGGAGGATGTTTTTGTTCGTGACTCTCTGAATCTGCAAATCCTTGGGTTCGAATTCCTATTCAAAGAGACTTTTCCTGTTTCACGAAAATGGCTCTCAAAATTCTTTTGTTGTTTACTCCTTAGCAAATTCTGGAGTATGACTGGAATCTTTTTTTATTTACACTTTCTTTCCTTTTTCTTAGGTGGGATACATCTTATGGAAAAAATTTTAATTATGTTTAATTTAAATTTTTTTGTTATCATAGGGGGGTGTGTAACGGATTTTTATTTAATTTTGAATTGATTTGCATTCGAAGTGGTGGCGCATCTATCACGCGTAGTGTTGGTGTGAGCTACGGGAAAAAACGGGGAGAAAAAGGGAGATAAGAACAGGGGAGATAGCGGGGCAGGAGCGAGTGAGGAGCTCGGGAGGAAGAGAATCAAGTTCAGGGGCTTTTCAAGGAAGATTTTCGGGAAGAGACGGGACCTGAGAACCGAAGGAAGAGTCAGGAGCCTCCGTCGCCTACGCTGGGGAGAGAAGAGGTGCCCTTCCGCATATTTTAACAGTGATTGGCTTATCGTATGTAATACCTTTAATAATATAATTTGTCGTAAACGTAGTTTTATTGGGCTCGGGTTGAAACCCACTTCGTGAGGTAACAATACAGTAGCATTTATTGGAAATCCTGTAAGTAGGTTACAGTCTTCTGGTAAGAGGATCCAACGGGGTTCCGGATCTGGAGGTTCCGCTCTGTACGATTACTCACCGGAGATTACGGCGACGAAGATCTCGAATGGGATCGAATCACTGGTGGCCATGGAGCGACGTAGTCTGAGACAACAATAACGACATATTAACATCTTTCATCATAATATCTTTATTAATAACATCTTAATTTACATCCCTAATTATAACTTCCTAATAATTAACATCTCAATCACTACAATCTTACTATGCATATTAAGTACTAAAACCTAACCTAAGTATCTTAAGCTACTATAAATTACAAATTAATATCTTAATAAGACTATCTTAATAATATGCTACTATTTACATTCTTGTTTTTACCATCTTTATTGTATTTATTTATACAATCCTCCTTGGAGGTATTCTTTAGGCACTATAGGAAAATTATATATTGTGGTATAGTCATAGGATTCACATAACAGCTTTTTACTGGTTTTCAATATTGTGAGCTACGAGGAGAAACCAGAAACGCTTTATTGTTAATTATAGATTACATGAATAAAGTTTGGAATAACCTGAAAGTGTCAACGTTTTGCAGCGGTGTCAACTTCGTTGTTTCTAAATAACTCACAACTATTTTTTAATCCAAACAATTATGTAGGTATTTGTTTCCATAAAAATGATAATGATCATAATTTTCGCAGGAAAAGAATGCAATCAACTTGGAATTTTACTTTACGAGGACTTGGGATGTAGGTACTCCTGAGTACAGTCCGGGACAGGATTGCCCCACTAAGTACACGTGTCAAGGTTTAGAACTATCCAATGAACACTGCTTTTTTCGAGGAAAAAGTTACGCAGACAACGTTGTTCCACTTCAACATTTGATGAAAAGTATGGCTTTATAAAAATTTAAAGATTTATTTTAAAACTGCAACTTTTGTAGACCACGATTTGAATGTGCCGCACGTGATTGTCCAACATGGCGTGGTGGGCGTGGTTGCTACGCGATATCCTCCTTGGGGCAATGCTGTCCAACTGGTTCAATTTGCCGTAAAAAAAATATTTGCCGGGTGTTATATGATCAATGGTTTTATACCTTTTAGCCTCTTATAGTTATAATGATACGTGTGTAGTGGAAGGAGATGAATACAGATTTGGTGAAAAGATTTTCCCAAGTTACACTTGTCTAGAATGCGTTTGTCAAAAGGGATTTGTTGAAGGAAAGTACGAACTACCCTTTTGCAAAAATGCACTTTGTAGAGAACAATTGCGCAGTCACGGTCCAAGTATTCAAGCGTCTTGCGCTCCCGTCTATAGCAAATCTGAGCCTAGAGGAATACTTTGTTGTCCTCAAAACTGGCTATGCCGTGAGACTTTTTGTAGGTACTTGTACTGAATTTGTTATTACGTTTTATTTTAGCTAATGGAAGTGAAATCATCAAGGGCGAAATTACATCAGGTAACATTAAGTGCTATTTTGCATGTTTAGTAAAATTTTATGTTTCAGAGGAAACCTGTAAATTTGGAAACAAAACTGTAAAAGTTGGACAGTACTTTGAAAGATCAAATGCTAGATGTGAGTGTGTTATTCCACCTCTCATGAAATGTCTTCAGGGGTAACTTATGCGCTTCGTGTTTTATAATATGTTGTATACATACATGAACCATTGATAAATATGGATATTATAAATTTCTTGATCAGAGTATAATAAAATATGAAATTGAATATAGGTAAAGCTCCATGCAGAGTTGTTCACTTCCTTTGAAATTGTATCCACGGTGATCATCTTATTGCTAATAGATTCGTCGAAGTAAAATCTTTCGACTAAGGATGTGAAATTCCATCCTCTGTCATGTTTCAAAACCTAAATACCTCTACGTTCGTCAATATATACAGCGTGTTACGGAAAGATACGTACAATATAAAATCGGTAATTGGTCTTGAAGTGTGGGTACTAAAAGTAAAAAAGTTCAGGTAAAACTGTTGTCCTTTTATAGATAAAAATGATTGAAATGTGTGCTTCTGATAAAAATGTAATTTTTTGGTTCTTTAGCAACATTTAGTATTGACCGTGATTTTTATTATTACTGTTTATGTTTTTTTTGTTGCTAGGATTGACTAAAATAAAATATTTAATTATATACGTATAACGTTCAGTATCGTCTAAAACGTTTGGATAAGGGTTAATTTTCTGTTGTAATGTACGCCTTAGATTGTTAATATATGCTTTGGTTTGGTTTGTTTTTCGTTTGATTGCATCAAAAGGTTATGGGCCCAGAGCGTGTCACAGAATTTGTGTTAGGTGTGTGAAAAACGTCGCCATCATGAACACTCGAAATTCACCGCTCGTTTATGAAATTCAATTTTAATGTTTTTTTGGTTTTGATTACTGATGTGTAGACATTAATTTAAGCTTCATCAGAAAATTGATAATTTCATAATGAAAGGTGTTACTCAAAAATTGATTTATCCATTTTTATGGAAAAAATACGCCATACACTGTTTACAAGAATATTTTTATTTTTAAAATTCCTGTTGTAAACGAACCCCAAAGTTTTGCATCGAAAACACTTCGATGATATCTAAAAAGCCATGTTTTATTAAACTAAATTGGGGTCAGCTTGCAATGAACCAGTTAAACAACAAACTTGTCAAATATATCTTAAGGAAAAAATACATACATACGGAAAATTAACCTTCGAAAAAACAAAGTCAAATCCAAATCTAAGCTTTTTTGGATTATGTACTTGAATTAAAACTTATTTTGGAAAGTAGGTATTATTAATTTAATGACTTTAACAAAAAATACACTAGTTTTGTTTATAGAAATGCTGATAACATTTATTTGGAGAACAAGTTCTTTATTTAGTGACCTGTGTTCGATGTCCTCGTTTTTGATACCCTTATCGTTTGCTGTATTTTTCAGTCGGATATAATTAAACTGTAACAGATGTATGTTGCAAGGTGTGTAATAATGCTGTCTTTTCATACTGTTGTTGTGCTGTTGTTGGCAACATATGCGTTAGGTAAGTCATTAATAATAAAAGAAACTAAAGATGATAATCAATCTAAATATCTAATAATGTAGATAAGTTACCTTGTGCAACTTATGGTTTATGATTCCGCCTTTATTTTTAACCCTCTACATATGAATTTTTTAAATTTTATATTAGCAGTACGCACGAAGGCCGTTAATTTAGAACAGTTTATACAGGCAACTCAAAAGGTTGAAGACCTCATCACAAAATTGTGTTATGGAAAAATCTTAACTTGAAAAGTTTTTTTTTTCATAGTACTTTACTGCTTTGTAATTTTTATTTTTATGTTTATTATAAATTCAAAGTCTACATTTTGCCACAACGAGTTTAATAGTAAGGAAGTAAAAATAATATACACGATCCTTTCGCACATGTTTTTACAAAAATATTTTGACGACGATCTGATATTTTTGAAAAAATAAAAAATGTTGTTTAAAATAAGCTTTTATGTTATACAGTGTTTGTATATTTCAAAGTAAACAACATATTATGTAATGTAGAATATTTTATTGTTTGTTATGACTAAAGATAGGTGGAAATAAGTTTTTGATTTCTACCACCAGTCCATGAATTGATCGTGTTGCAGTCTCGCGTTGCTGGTCTTTGGAGTCGTATGGAGTGCATGTAGTGGGGTTAATCGACGAGTTCTCACTTATTTCCGCCTAACGGTACTTATGATATTTCTAAGCTATGTACGGCATTATTTAGAAAGTGGTGAAAACGTACGTATATTTTGAAACTAAAATAAAACCGCATTATGTTGCAAAAAAAAAGAAATATACTATAATTGTAAGCAAATAAGTATGTAATACGTCATACATGTGCACAGAATGTACAAGTCTGCTTTCATGTTCAATAATGGGTGTTATGTACAGTTTGACTTCTTGCCAGTCTTATATATATATTTTTTCAAAATTTTTATTTGTTGGGTAACACTTCATTGAAAAGTTTGTGAAACAAAAAAGTACATTTATCATTGTTTGTCTAACTGAAGGTCATGGACCAACATGACAACAGAAAGAGTAATGGAAAATGTGAAAAGTGATTCCAGTGAGGTAAAAAAGCATGCTACGCATGCAATGTAATATTAATAATAATATTGTATTCCATAATTTTCGGAAAATTGAATTAAGTCGTTCTCGAATCTTGATTTATTCAATAAAACAACGAAACAATTTAATCACGTCTGCCATGTGTAGTAGTAGAGGTACAACTGAACTGAAAATCCTTTAGAAGTACTCGTAATTTAAGACAAATAGCAATAACGCTTATCGGGATTGTACACGTGAGATTGAAACAGAGAAACTAAGCTAAACGACATTTTCTACGAATTGCAATAACCGGATCACAATTCATTGGTCCATACTTTTTTATTTGCTAAATAAAACATTTCATTTTATTTTGGTTTTCGATGTTGTAATTCACATTTGGTTAATTATAACTTGTCAAAATCTAGGGGAGGCAAAAATTTCTCTAGGGTACGCTCAACCTCTGGAGTCGCCAGATAGACTCGTTTACTATACTTCCTTAGCTCACGCTCTTATAATTAAAAATCGCCTCTCAGCAATAACAACAACTTGAATTATGTTTATACATCGGAAGAATGTCACGTAGAAAATAGTCTGATATGAGTTTGTCATCTCAAAATAGAGGATTAAAATTATTAATTAAGCCACAATCGAACAAAATGTTCTGAATATTTTTATTACAATTCTTATTTAATCATTATTAAAAAAAGACGCACTTATTCTCACATTTACGAGAAAATTCTTCATTCTCAGGTTCTTAATTTGATTAACAAAACATTAGACAGTGATTAATTTTGTAAAATTTATTTTATCTAATGAAGAAAAAAAGCGGTAAGACAATTATTTTGATTAAAAATTTACCATGCTTGCGATAACCTTGAAACGTCTGCAAGATTTCAAAACATTCGATTTTGGAGCTCTTGATTTAGTCCACAAAATAAATCGACCCATTCATTAATTTTTTTTATCCTATAAAGCAATTCTGAAAATATGAACACTATGATATATCTTGCACATTTGTGATAGGATTTATTTAGTAAAATTTTGAGATGACGTCACAAATTAGGGCGGGGAGCTTAATTTTGATTAACAATTTACTATTTTGTAAGTGAACTCATTGCCTGTTTTTTTTATTGACCCTGTATAAGTAATTCTAAAAAGATGAAGACAATGATAAATCACAAGTATACACTTGTATTTTCCACATTTGCGATAGGATTTATTCGGCAAAAGTTTAAGATGACGTCATAAATTTTTTGGGGGAATAAACAGATACATTTTGAATAAAAAATTCCTATGCTTTGAAACGTTTGTCAGATTTCAAAGCATTCCATTCTGCAGTTCCTGATTTAATTCATAAAATAAACTGACTCAATTTTTTTACTCATCCTGTATAAGTTATTCTAAAAATATGAAGGCAATGATAAGTCACAAGTATAGACTCATCATATTCAGCAGATTTTTCGTAAGATGTATTAGACAAAATTTTGTAATGACGTTATCTATTTTTTGGGGGGAGCAACATGTCTATTTTGATTAAAAATTTACCCTGTTTCCGATAACTTCAAAACGCTTACAAAATTTCTAAAACATAAAAATATGTTATTGAAGTGCCAACAATCTGATGTTGTTCCATAATTATTGAATCAAAGGTAGTGTTTTTACTGAATTTCAAAAAAAAAAAAAAATTCGTAGCTTTTAAGGCAAAATGCAAAATTCACTAATTTTACCAGAAATAGAACACAAATCATTAAAAAATATGTCTCCATTAATAAACTGTAAATTTGTGGCGAGATTTATTTGGAAAAATTGTGAATTGACGTCATCTAATAATTTTTGAAAAAAGGTGAACAAATAAATTCTGATTATCCTATTTATCATATTCACGATAACGTTAAAGGGTGTGCAAAGTTTCTACGTCACGAAGTTAATCATTCGGATCTTTTTACAGTGTACTTTCCTACTTACGTTCGGTGAGTGAAAAAGTAGCTAAAACAAAATTTTAGTGTTTATGTTAATGTATTTTTGTCTGTACATCGGTGTTAATAATTATACATAAAGAGAAAGCAAGATAACAAATAGTTAAAGAAATGATAAAAATCTTTTTATTCATGACGAAGATGTTAACGTTTGCAAATTTCCTAGGAAAAGGATGCAATAGGCTTGGGATTTTACTTTACGAGGACTTAGGATGTACTCCTGAGTATCGTGCCGGCCAGGATTGTCCCTATAAGTACACATGTCGTGGTTTAGAACCATCCAGTGACCACTGCTTCTTTCGGGGAAAAAGTTACTCAAACAAAGAAGTAGTCAACGACACGCTCTCAGATGGGTTATGCCGATCAGATTGTTATTGTTCAACAGAAGGTGATAAGTATGGCTTTACAAAAATTTAAAGATTTATTTTAAAAGTACAACTTTTATAGACCACGATTCCATTGTGGCCATCTCGAGTGTTTAGAATGGCTTGACGACGGTCCTGACGAAGGTTGCTACTACAAATATGCCTTGGGGAAATGCTGTTCAACTGGTTCAATTTGCTGTACAAAAGTCATTTGATGAGTGTTCTATGATCAACCTCTTTTCTTTTCAGCCTCTAACGATTATACTCACACGTGTGTAGTGGAAGGAAACGAATACCGAGTCGGTCAAAAGTTTTGGCCGAGTTACACTTGTCTGGAATGCGTTTGCCAAAAAGGATTTGTTAGAGGAAAGTTTGAAGCACCCTTCTGTAAAAGTAGGCTTTGTGGGGAACAACTGGATAAAAACGGTCCAAGTATTCAAGCATCTTGCGCCCCACTTTATAGCAAATATGAGCCTAGAGGAATACTTTGTTGTCCCGAGGACTGGATATGCCGTGAGATTTTGTTCTGTAATTACTTTGCATTTGTTATTATGTTTTATTTCAGCTGATGGAAATGAAGTCATCAAAGGGGAAATTAAATCAGGTAACATTAATTACTGATATTTTCCATTTTTATTAAAATTGTATTTTTTAGAGGAAACTTGCAAATTTGGAAACATAATCGTGAAAGTTGGACAGTACTTTGAAAGAACAAATGCTAAATGTGAGTGTGTAGTCCCTCCTCTCATGAAGTGTAATGAGTTTTAAATTATGAATTTCATGTTTTGTAATATGTTATAGATTTAAAACATGATTTGATAAACTAGATTGTTGCTTGTTAGAAACTATTTTATAAATTTTCTTTCCTATATTTAATTTCACAAGTCTTACACGTTCATCAGGATCAAATATATATACAGTCAGTTTATTATATTGGAGACTTGTAATATTTCATAATTGTATGACGCTGACTGACTGACTTGATAGCGTGGTAGTCGTATCCATTTTATTGAAGAGATGTTTGGAGAAGTTCTAATTCTTTTTGGAGTTTGTCAGGTGGACAAATGGTAGTGGCTCGATGAATTAGGGAGTCAATGACAGACCGTTTTTGGGCAGCCTAGTGATGATAATCAATGTTTCAAATTAGCACAAAAATTGTAGTGACATATGCAGCAGAAGGCAAATATATGCAAATATGCAATTTTTTTATAGCTGTATTCATTTTTAATTAGTATAATTCGTTCACATATTAAATATCAAGACTTATCGTATGCAAAAAATAACGGATATGCAAATTGTCTACATTTAAAGTAAATAATGATTTATTTTCATTTAGCAACATCTTTCTGGTAATGTTCGTTCCATCTGAATTTATTTATTGTGAAATAGGTATAGAAAATTAATCAAGCAGACGAAAATGTGTGAACATTGTAACAATTCAGTTTGCCTTGAAAACTACATTTGTGTTATCTATGTATATTTTTAAATATTATCGCCAATGCATACTTTAAGTCGTAAATTACACACAGGTATATTTAATGAAATGTTTTTTAAATTATTTTCATGCCAACGTCGTATATTGTCGACAAGTAAAAAATCGGCCATTACTTAAAAATTATCATTACTAGCATAGCAAACAACGACAAAATGCACAATGTAAATAACGAACATAGAGACAAAGTTCACCCAAAAGAAAGAGCAAATATTCTGTCTCGTTTATTTTTTTTGTAAGTTAAATCGCTTAATTTCAAACTTTTGGTTCTGAGTTTTTTGTCTTTTAGTTGGCAATTACCAATACTGTTTGAAGGATATCGCAAGCAATTCACAGAAAGTGACCTCCACAACCCTTTAAAAGAGCATCAGTCTAAGCTTTTAGGAGATAAATTAGAAAAAGTATGGTTAGAAGAAGTTCATGCTTCGGGTATCGATGCGTCACTTTGGAAAGTTTTGGCCAAAGTGTTTGGTTTGGAGTTTGTTCTATATGGTTTGTGTCTCATACCTGTAGAAGTGATTTTTAGGTAATCGAAAATTATAATTAGTAGTAGTTGCGTAGAAAATGCAGTGTAAACAAAAACATTTTGATGTGTAGTTGACAATGAGCTGGACCTATATCTGGTATTACTGATTTAGTAAAGCATACTTTGAACACATAGTATAATACGTGAACTTTGGTTAAAACCATTTACCATGTCACCAAACACAATCTGTTTCAATGGGAGCCATTTTGAATTTAACTTCATCATTCAAAATGTTTGCGATTGCGCATTGCAAAAATTTGAGAATGTTATTCTAACTTTAGATTTATCTTTAAAGAATGTCTGAGCCTTTCATGACCTGGAAACTGGTCCACTATTACACAACTGAACATGATAATGCATCTAAAAATGAAGTTTACATTTATGCTTCCTGTATGATAGTAATGCTGTGCCTGAAATTTATTGGTTTACAAAACTTTTGGTTTGGAATGGAACACTTAGGAGCTAAAATACGTGTGGCGTGCAGTGCTTTAATTTATCGAAAATGTCTTTGTCTAAGTGAAGAAACTTTAAGTGAACTTACGGCCGGTCAAATAATTAATCTGGTAGCTACCGATGTAACCAAATTTAACAACGGTTTTATCAGATATGTGCATTATTTATGGCTGGTGCCTATTTTAGCAGCAATGATAATATATTCACTGTATTCGATTTTAGGTGGTACTGCTATTATCGGTGCAGCAGTTCTTCTCGCTTTCATTCCTGCCCAAAGTAAAACTGTATTAACAAAATTCATTACAACAGAATTAACATTTTATTCCTTTCTAGTAATGTTATCGAAAGTGATATCCAAATGTCGTCTAAAAATGGCAGGCAAAACAGATCAAAGAATTAGACTGATACATGAAATCATACAAGGAATAAAAGTAATTAAAATGATGTGTTGGGAGGAAGCTTTTATTAAGCTAACAGAAGACTACAGAGAGTAAAAACTGATACAACTGTTGATATATAATTAATTTTTGTTATTTAGAGCAGAAATGCAGCAGCTCAAATCAAGTTTACGACCTGTAGCTATAAACACTTCCGCTATACTTTCCTTCAGTAGGACTGCCATTTTTTTAAGTATACTTGCTTACATCCTCAGTGGACATTCCTTGCATGCTGAATACATTTACCTATTGACTGCCTTCTACGAGATTATTAAAATCATAGCAGGAATATTTGGCCCTTGGGCGTTAACTTTCGTGGGCGAAATTATTTCTTCCGTTAAAAGGATTGAAGCTTTTTTGAAAAGCGCAGAAAATAACTGTGATAAAACAAATGGAGTTTATGATGGCATTACATTAACTCATGTCACTTCCACGCAAAAAATTTTAAGCGATGTATCACTGAGAATTAAAGCGAATCAAATGACTGCAATAATCGGTCCTGTTGGTTCTGGTAAAAGTACTATACTAAAGGTTATATTGAACGAAATTCCCCATCTACAAGGATCAGTTCAAATTGGTGCTACCATCAGCTACGCCGCTCAAGAACCGTGGATTTTTGACGGTACTGTTAGAGAGAATATTTTGTTTGGAGAACTTTATCACGGAGCAAAATATGACGAAGTAATAAAAGTCTGCGCTTTGGAACGTGATTTTGCTTTGTTTCCATATGGAGATTCCACACTTGTAGGAAGTAGAGGAACTACGTTAAGTGGCGGTCAAAAATCTAGAATAAACTTAGCGAGAGCTGTCTATAAAGATACAGAATTCTATTTGCTAGACGATCCTTTGTCTTCTGTAGATGCACAAGTGGGAGAATTTATTTTCAGCAACTGCTTTCAAAAACTTTTGAAAAATAAAACAATAGTGCTAGTTACACACCAGTTGCAATATTTAAATAAAGTCGATTTTATTTACGCCATTGAAAAGGGGATTAACGTAGAAAGTGGTACTTTCGAAGACCTTAAAAGTAGTCACTACTTTAAATCGATCCAGATGAAGAAAAATGTAGAGCAAACGGAAAAAGAAAACTACAGAATGGAAGAACGGAAAGAAAGCAATCACACAAACGAAATTTCTGAAAAAACGGAAAACGTAAAGACTGAAGTTGTTTCAAGTCAAGTATACAAAAATTATTTAAAAGCCAGTGGTGGGAAGATCGTTGTTGCAGCTTTGCTTGCGCAAATGTTGGCACAATTCATTGCGAGTGGCAATGAATATTTGCTCACAGTGTGGTCAAACTTTCAACAAAGGAATAAGAATGGAGATTTTTTTTTATATTTTTATACAGGTCTAGCGGTGACACTTATTCCAGTTTCTTTGGCCGCTACAATTTCAGTTATTAAATGCTGTACCAATGCAAGCAAAAATCTGCATCAGAAACTTTTATATAATGTAGTGCATGCATCAATTAATGTTTTTAACAATAGCACATCCGGTCGAATTTTGAACCGATTTTCTTCAGATATTGGCCAGATTGATAGAAATCTACCTATAAACATGGTTAATATAGTTTTAATTACCTCACAGTTTTTTGCAATAGTTGTTTTAATTTCTATAATCAACTACTGGATTTTAATACCAACTGTAGTCATAATGACTGTCTTTTTTTACGCTCGTAAAATATATCTAGCTACCAGTCGTGTTCTGAAGCGTGTAGAAGCTAATTGTAAGTACGACACTATGGCATAATCTATTAAAAAAAATCTTGCAACAATCACAGCTAGAAGTCCGGTTTATTCACACTTGACTACTACTATTCAAGGATTAGCAACCATTCGAGTTCTTCAAGCTGTAGAAGATCAAAAACGGATCTTTGAAAGTCACCTAGACAAACATACAGCAGCTTATTATATGTTTTTGGCATGCGATTCTGCGTTCGGGTTTTGGTTAGATTTTTCTTCTTACTGTTACTTTGTTACTTTGATTTTGAGTTTGGTGTTTTCACAGTCTGGTTAGTGAGTCATTGTTGTATAATTTTGTAGTGCTAGGAGTTTTTTCCAGAAATCTATGGTGGTAACGTCGGATTAGCTCTAACTTCTTCAATACTGTTTGTTGGCATGCTCCAGTACGGTATGAAAGAGTATGCCGAATTAGAAAATCAAATGGTTGCAGTAGAACGGATTTTGGAATATATTGACCTTGATAATGAACGTGGCGATGGAGCGAATCTTACAAGCAAATGGCCTACAAACGGCCAAATTGATTTTAGCACCGTTTCTCTTCGATATAATCCGAATGTGCCTTCAGTTCTTAAACAAATAACGTTCACAATAAACTCCAACGACAAAATTGGTATTGTTGGTAGAACAGGTGCTGGAAAGTCTTCGCTTATTTCTGTTCTCTTCCGACTCTTTGACTTTGAAGGAGATATTTCCATTGATGGCATCAACACCAAAACCATTCCACTGCACACACTAAGATCTAAAATTTCCATTATCCCTCAGGAACCTGTTCTTTTCTCTTGTAGTGTCAGAAAAAATTTGGATCCTTATGACGAGTATCAAGATTCTCATTTATGGAACGCTTTAGAGGATGTAAAAATCAGAGAAATGATTGCTTCTTTGCCTGCAGGACTATCTACTAAGTTAACAGAAGGGGGTCAGAATTTGAGTGTTGGAGAAAGACAGTTGTTGTGCTTAGCTAGAGCTATTGTAAAAATGAATAAAATCATTATCCTGGATGAAGCTACCGCAAATGTGGATTTAGAGACTGAAGACTTGATAAAAAATGCCATTAGCAAAAAATTTAAGATGTGTACGGTGATGACAATAGCCCATAGAATACACACTGTGATGGATTGTGATAAAGTGTTGGTTATGGGTGATGGACGTGTTTTAGAATATGATTCACCTTCCAAACTTTTGCAAGATACTAAAGGAGCATTTTATGGATTAGTGCATTTGAAAAATAATGATGGTACGTACACAATTTTAAAGGGGGTATTACAAGAACATTTACCTTCAAAATTTAAAACAGCACTTATAGTACTAGTACTGGTTTAAGTTTTAACAGAGTTAGAGATATTATTTATCTTTTTAAAACGTTATTTAGAAATTACTTTCAAACCTACATCTGTTTTAACGATTTGTTTCAGATCCTTAATCAAGAATAGAAGTGAATTTACTATCACATGTTTTTCCATAGTTAAAACTTTATTGTTTTCAGAACATATTAGTATCTTTTTGAATAATAAATTTTAATAAAACGAATGAGGTATTTTGTTAAGTTACTTATTGTAATAAATAAATTTTGTGCCTACTTTTGGAAACGCGAAACTCAAAGTTATCAACGAATGGAAAATTAAAAAAGAAAATGAGTAAAAGCAGTGCAAACATTGGAGCCTTGAATGCGGTAAATTAAGGACATTTTTCACTTCTGGCGTAGTAGAGTTAAGTTTGATTCGTGCATACCGAAAGAAATCAAAAAAACCTCGACAAGATTGTCTGAAAGTGATTTAAAAATGACTAGGAGAAGAGTTAACTCGTTGAAGTTAATTTGTAATTTAAACTAAATCAGAGATATCAAAACGAGATATATGCCGCCTCAAATATCTGCCCAGAACTTTCAAGCTTTTTTTGACGAACTCAACTCAAAGTGACTATTCTTTATTTACTGCTGATTTCAATACCCCTTGTGACAATTTACATACTAATAAAGTGGCTGTCAAATTAGACCGAATGGTACCTGGGGCGCGGTCGTGCTGCCACTCATTCAAGTGATTATGATGGTTGTGATTTTTATTACTTTCCACTGTTTGGGCACATCATATCTCTTATTTAAGTACTAACTGAATGGTACGCGACATTCAGCCCAAATTTATGGCATCTATAAGCTGTGGTTAGGGGTTTATCGAGCGCTTGAGGCGTTCAGCTTATTGTGACAGCTACTATAATAGCTTTCAGACTTCTGTGGACGTCTTTAAAAAAATTGTAATTTAACTCAATATAACTCAGTTACTAATATCAGTAGTAGAACGTTAGGTCTTGTTTATGCCAATTTCTGTTGTATAGTTGATAAAAATCATGAACGATTCGTTAAGGAAGATGTTTATCACCCTGCTTTTTACATACACTTTGAAGAATTAGCCAGCAAACGTCGTTTAGTTAGTTTGTTGAATATTCAAATAATTTTAGAAAAGCCGGGGTTCCCCTTCTTTATCAATAATTAACTTGATAAGTTCATCGTTAATCATGCTTGGGCAATGTTTTACGAACAGCTCAGTAATACGACAAAAAGAGTCCATGCTTAGACAATTTAAGAAACATAAACTCCTTCATACCTGGATCTTTTTAAGGTAAGTATATAGATCTTCTAGTAAAAGATTAATTGATGAAGTCCATAAGCAATATCTGGCTGCCATGGAACTTACATGTTCTAAAGATTCAAAAAAATTTTGGGACTTTGTACAAAGCAAAAATACACCACGCGTATACCAGTTCTTATGACCTTTAATAATACTCAACTGTCTTTTCCCCTGGAAACAGTTAATGCGTTTGGCATATACTTTAATAACGTATTCATCGAATCATCATCATTTATTGTGTTTTTTAGCGTTTCAGCAGCCAACGCGACCGAAAATAGCAAGAAACCATAAAATTTTAGCTAGAAATTTTATTTGGTGCAATTTTATGGGTTTTGAATTATATTTCGACTTGTTTTGGCGATTCTGATTGACATGACGTACTTGTGATAGTCAGAATCGACTTATTTTGCGAAAAGGAGACGATTGGGTTAATTTTTCACATTCTGCCGTTTGTAGATTCAAGAAATTCATCAAAAAACTTCAGAAACATTTCTTATCAAACTTCTTTTTGTGTTTTTTAGCGTTTCATGTACCCAATGGGACCGCAAATACCATGGAAACCATAAAATTTTAGCTAGAAATCTTATTTTGACGGAATTGTGTAACTTTAGATAACAGATGGGTGCTACCGTATGTACAATCCAGTTTTGTCTCGAACTTTTGCTACTCACAGCAAGATAGAGCATTGTAGCTCTGTAAAATCTATTAAATAATGATGCAAATATATAAAGAAAGGATCCGACCAGGCCTCAATTGGTCTTCAAAATGACAATGATGAGGTTAAATGAAATAATGAAAATAGTCGATATACTTATTAGCAGCTCTGAAACTGTCTGGAGGATCCTGGGGTTTCCCATACATGAAAGTTTTCAGCGGTGTTTCATTTGGCAGTGAATTTAGAAAATGGTCAGCGTGCCTATTTTAATCCTAATGATTCCAATAATAATGTACCTAACTGAAAAAGTAAACAACCCAGAGAAAACTACTCTTTCAGCATACTTGCAAAACGGGTGATTTGTACCCGTCTTTATGTTGAAGTCCCTTCATACTATATGTGGAAAAGTAACAAATTTCAGAGGCAACAACGTGGAAACAATGCCGATGCTTGGCCGAGAGTCAAAAGGGGTTAAGCTTTGAGCAGAGGGTACACCATCCACCCTAATAACGCCGAATGTTACTACCTTCGTCTTCTTCTTTTTCATGAAGCGAGACATCCTTCTCGGATTTAAATACTATTAATGGTGTCGTTTATTTTATATACTAGCATGTAAAGCTTTGAGTTTGGTAGGAAATGACAAACACGTACTGAGATGCCACAGAGGAAGAGGCTACTCTTTCTGATTCTCCTTTCAAGCTAGGGGATCTGTTCTCAATTTTGTTGATATTTTGTCAAACAGGAGACGCTTCAAATCTATATAAAACGTCAATTTTAGCCAGGGTGTCAAGAGAGTGTTCAGATTAGGGGAGAGGGAGGCACTTTTGGACAGGGGCAGTTGTGGATAATTCAATTTTTGCGCCTTTTATATGATAAAATAAGTTCAAATTCACGATGGTAGCTCCCCCTGGTGTTCTCTACTTGCAGTGAAACTGTAGATGTTCAGTAAGTAAAGCGATGGCGTACGGAGAAAATATACTCCAAGACCGATAAAAAGTAAAATTCTTTAGTTTGATGGATCTCATTATTGTTTTGTTGAATGCAGCGTAATACTGGACTTTAAATTTTATATATGTACATTGTGCTGTTATGTGCTAAAGGTATGCCAAAATAAGAATTCGTAATTCCTAACCTAATATTCTTTGGCGCCAATTGAAGCCTTGAATGTAGTATGAGGTACATATGGACAGACCACATGGGGCACTAATGGACAATGTCCACATGTACCTCTTTAAGTAAGGTAAATATTTTCACACTTTTTTTACCGAACTCTTTGTATCAAGGTGGTGGCACAATGGTTAGAAATTACGTAAAGAAAACCGACAGAGCAAACATATCAGAAGACAGTATTGCTAGAGCCATTAATGATGTAATTAACAAAAATGGTTCTATCAGAGAAATAGCTCAGAGATATAGGTTAAAAAAATCTATGTTACATAAGCGTTTGCAAAAAATCAAGAATCAAGGTTTGTTTGATATAAACCTCCCAAAAATAAAATACACATCTAAGTACACTACCCGTCAAATTTTTACGAATGAAGAAGAAGATAGTCTGGTAAAATATATCATTCACTCATCAAAATTAAAGTATGGGCTAACTTATTTTCAAATTCGAAAATTCGCATACGAATATGCATTGAGGCTCGAAAAAATCTTTCCCCGTTCTTGGTCTGAAAATAAATTAGCAGGATTGGAATGGATGAAAGGATTTATGCGTCGCCATAAAAATTTATCGTTACGAAAGCCTGAATCAACCAGTTTAGCACGAAATATGAGTTTTAACCGGACGAATGTTGATAAATTCTTTGAAAACCTTGAGAGGGTCCATACAAAATATAATTTTACCAGTGATCGGATTGTAAATGTAGATGAAAGCGGTATAAATACCGTTTTACAAATGCCAAAGGGCTGCAAACTAGTTGGACAATTTGTGAGTCCAGAGAGAGGGGAGCAAGTGACCTTTTGTGGCACAATAATTGCTAATGGCAATGTTGTTCCTCCTGCTTATGTGTTTCCGCGTGTCCGCTTTAAAGAATCCTTCTTGACTGGAGCACCAGAGGGAAGCATTGGAATTGCTTCGCCGAGTGGATGGATGACGACTGATGGTTTTAAAGAGATTATTAAGCACATAAAAAACCACATGCATGCTTCCAAGGAGAATCCAGTTTTAGTCCTATTAGACAACCATGATACACATGCATCATTAGATCTTATATTGTATTGCAGAGAGAACGGATTAATTCTCCTTACGTTTCCTCCCCATACAACACATCGTCTGCAACCTCTCGATGTAAGCGTTTTTGGGCCTTTTAAGTCTCGATTGAGGGCTGCCTTCAACACGTGGATATCTAAGCATCCAGGAAAAGCAATAACAATATACGATGTCGCTAATTTAAATGCTCCCGCATTTAATGAAGCATTTAATCGTCAAAATATTTTTTTCCGGATTTTTGAAAACAGGTTGCTTCCCACTAAATAAAAATGCTTTCTCTGATGATGACTTCGTTGCCTCAGAAGTTACCGAAATTGTGACCACGGAACCTGCAGAAAGTACATCCTGTCATCCCGTCGAGGATAATCAGTTCAATGAAGGGCAACCATCCACTAGTGGAGAAAATTCCTCAAATTTGAATCAGCCTAAAATCAAAATATTATCAGATGTAAAATTGACTCCCGAGCATGTGAGACCATATCCTAAAGCTATAAGAAAAATTACGACAAAGGGAAGAAAGAAAAAATACAGTGCCATACTAACCGCTACACCAGAAAAAACAAAAATAGAACAGGGACTACAAGAAAGAGAAAATAAAAAACGTTTGAAAGAAGAACGAAAATTAAAAACTCAAGAAAGAAGAGAGAAAAAAATGAAACATGTAAGAAAGGTTTTTGAGGAAGAAACATCTGAGAGTGATACAGAAAATGTCAGCTTCCAAGAATCTGATGACAGTCGTATAGAATGTGAAGAGGAAACGATGCAAATAGCAAAATTTTAGTTAACGATTTTGTGCTGGTTAAGTTTGCCACAAAAACAACCATCAAATATTTTGTTGGCCAAGTGGAGGAAATTTCAGAAAATGAATATTTCATCAATTTTCTAAAAATGATCCGAAAATATGCCTTCGTTTTTCCAGAAAAGAAGGATGCTTCTCATGTTTCTCAGGAAGATGTCATATTAAAACTTTCAAATCCTAAAACCGATGATAAAGCGACAACAGTTCGATCTGCTTCAATTTTTAAATTTAATGAATCCTTCGACGGGTTTAACATGGGTCACTAGTGTGTTAATTGCATAATATCCTCTGACCACAACTACCCTCTGTAAAATCCTAACTTGTCTTAATGTGCCCCACGTCGGGGTACTTATGGACAAATATTACATAAAAATATATATTTTTTATTTTGAAGAGAAACAAAAATTATTTAATTTTAATTGAGTTTTGTTAAAGAGAAATGTTTCTGTTTTTTATAAAATAATTTATTAATAAAGTTTATTAATTCTATTGAGTAAAAAAAATTTTTAACTGAAAATTGTCCACATGTGACCCCCTCTCCCCTATGGATGAAGTGCCTGATTTCCTTGAAGACAGGGTGCTAATTCTCATGTTTACCTCTACTCTGTAGTTTTTATAGTATATCTGCTTTAGTTTTATCTAATAGTTAGAGAATAGAAATGCAATAATCAAAATGAGATAAAATCATGCTAAGGTGTTATAAATAGTTATACGATTCTGGGGGGAAGTGTAATATTTTACATATTTTGTTAACAATTTATTTAAAATTAGTATTTAGGATAAGTGTAATAACTGCTAAATACTTCATTTCTTATACTAATTAAATTTTACTCATATCAATTTGTAAGTTAATATTTCTTTGTCTTGTTTTTTGTTGGCAAATGAATCAAATGATATATTATTTCCATGTGCAAACAGGGTGAGGAAATTTTAAATTTCTGTTTTAATCATACCACCTGCTAATCAAATTTATGATATTTTCCAGAAAACGTTTTAAAATTTAACCACATTTTGAAGACGGAGAACAGTACACACACTAACATAAGGGAACACAACCACTAGAAGATGGCTTTAACAAGATGGATGAAGCCGTTTCTTTTTCCAGTCCAAAGTTGTTGTTTTACTGTCACATTGTTTTATACTTCCCACGTGTAGCTAAGGAAGTATTGTAATCAGACGAATGGCTGCTTTCATGTTTTCTCGATGCTTCATAACCCCAAGGAATGCCCCTAGCGTACGAAGAAGTAGGTCTCGCGTTTCCGTCTGTCTGTCGTGTGTTGTCTTGATTTTTATTACACAGATACCTAATATTCGAAACTACCGGACTGGTTTTTGTCAAATTTTATATCTGTTTTATGAATAGTGTGTTGATGATAAAACGTTAACAAAATTTGTCTAATCATCTACACCAACAGTTTAGTACCTCACTGTTATTTAAATTTTATAAAATAATATACTCTTGTGCTTGTGGTTTGTAAATCCCCCGAGTTTGTACCTACTCTAGCCATTAAATTTTCATCAACCAATCAAGAATCTTAATTGGCAGCAATAAATACGTCACCACTGGTCACCATTGCTGCGGAAGCTAAATTATGGTCTTTCCTCGCAGTGCTGAATATGTTTGTGTCATAAAATTGACCGCTGGAAGAATTAGAATTTAGACAGATTACTAATTCAAACAGAGGGTGAAATTTTGGGAACTTTAGATCTCTAACATTTTGATAATAAATTTTAAAACTATTTGTTTGATATTTATAAATGTCCAATTTTCTAGGTATTTCAATGTCTCAAAATCATTAGAAGGACATTCGTCATTTCTGGTATAATCGTAAGTTGTGATTTTCCTGAAAACGTTTTATCTTGACTTTCCGCCATACAGTATGTTGTGTCAACTAATATTCTTGAAGTAATCTGGTATACGTTACGGGTTCGTAATTTGATAACGGTAATGATAAAATGACTGGTTTTTAAACTTTTATTATAAATATGACTTATTCTCTTTTACAGAGAGTGTTTAGTGCCAAATGCTAACAATAATTGAAATCCCCTCCCAATAAAAAAAGATTAATTAAAATTAAAAGTGACTAAATCATAACGTATTTAGAGATAATGTTTATCAGAAGTTGTTAACATATGTAATACAATACACATGCTAGATTTTTAATATGCAGTCACACGTTAGGAATCTAGGAAGAAGTTTTTCCCAAAGCGTTGGGTTTATCAAGGGGCTTGTTGAAAGGGCATACCATTCCATACCTCACCCGAGCGTGATGATCTCAAATGAGAGAATAGCGAAACACATCAGAAGAACATTACAAATATTGTTCTTAGGCAATTCAAAATACGACAGAGAGAACAACACGAGAATAAATGCAAATATTATAGGGAAAAATCCACCAATGAGGCAATACACAATCCACTCATGCATCATAAAAGAAAACAAAAACACCACCACTCGAGCAATAAAATTATTGTCACAAACATATTCCTTGAAATCACGGTAAATGTAATAGTACAACCAATCCTGCACGATTATGTTCCATTTTAACAACCAAGCATTAAAATCATGTTCGTTCCACCAATCTAAATAGAATAAACGGTCACCGAATCGCAGAATCTCGGCAAATAAATTTTGTACATTATGAATATACATGAAGTAACCGGTCAAAGTCAATGGCATTAGAAAAATTTTGTCTGCCATTTCGAAGAATAGATCCTTTATCGTATGCTTTTGTGCCAGTCTTTCCGGAGATGGAAAAGCGTTCATTGCACAAAAAGTGAGTACTCGATTCGAGAAGACATTGAACAACAAATTTCCAGTTGATGGTGTTCGTTCGAGGGTACATGTCTCTATAGATGAGGGTAGGAGCGAAAAGGAAGTATAGATATTTAGAAAAAGATAAACCAGGAGGTTCACTGGAAATTTTGCTTCTCACAAATGCGTGCACTTTCATTAAAAGCCGTGACTAAAAAATGTTGTTTTAACGTGATTCTTCTAATGATAAACTTACCTGTTCACAAGTAAGAAAAGCAGTGCTACCCATCTTGAACCCAATATGGCGTATTGCATAAGTAATTAACTTCAAGCTGTAAAAATAGTACAAAACCAAACATGTTGCTCCGAACCATTGATTAAATACATATGTATTTAATCAATGTCCGAACCAATACAAAATCGTGGTTCGTCCTGAAAATTAATTATTATTTGTTTCAAAACGTCCTTGACGAAGCTGTGGCTTCTAGAAAGCGTTTTGTTAATACTTAATTAAGACGTATAATAATGAATAATTAGATATACAGATCCTTGCTAAATTGTATTTGTTGAACTGTACTTCAGGGGTGAGGGAAGTTCCTTCTTTTTGATTTTAAACAATTAGCCGTTAAAAAGACTATAAGGGTTTAAAAAAATTCAAAACGTCAATATGTTGAGTGTACATTCTCTCCTAGAAACCCCAGCTTAACTTACCAACCTTTGGCAAACGTTGTAAGAATTAACCACATTTTGAAAACGTAGAATACTTCACAAACTGATGCAAAGCTACACAACCAAAGGTAGATGGCTTTGTCGAAATGTAAGAAGAATTGCCTTATGTGTCCAAATCCTAAAGTTATTCTAAAACTAGTTGTTGTTGCTACTGTTGTTTCTATTCATTATTTTACCTTCCTGTTATGAAATACTCTTTTCCTAGTGTGTGCACAGAAAAACAGATGAAGACGATGGCTAAGAAATTGTAAAGATTTCGAGTTTGAGGATGCTCGAAGTTGTTGGTTAGTACAAAATTTCGAATAACGAACTTATTTTCTGTTTTACTAAAAAACATCTGATTTGGTACTGATCTGTGATTTTCTTAATACGTACGATTTTGCCTTTTTGGGAGACATGACTAGCTGGTAAATGAGTAAGTATGTAGTGTCTATGTAGTGTATATGTTCAGATAGTTTAAAGCAGGTTTATACATTCAGTTTTTTTTTTTTGTAATAATTAGGGTGTGCGATACATAATTCTCCATTCTTGATTAACTTGGAAGTGCGTAAGCTTATCGTCACATTGAATAGCAGGAAAAAAGTCTATGATGTGAGTCAGTGAGTGAATGAGTGATTGAGTGAGTGAATGAGTAAGTGAGTAAGTGGGTAAGTGGGTAAGTGAATAAGTGGATAAGTGGATAACTGGATAAGTGGATAAATGGATAAGTGGATAAGTGGATAAGTGGATAAGTGGATAAGTGGATAAGCGAGTAAGTAAGTAAGGGAGTAAGTGAGTAAATGAGCACCCGTTATGATACTTGGTACATGTCACAACTAAATATAAATTAATACATAACTACAACATATAACATACAATCTACAATATAACATGGAATATATATTTTATTATAAATTAAGTATTGGCGTAGTAGTAAAATGCGCCATATCTGATACGAACTAGAAAATTGTAATATTATGCTCGTGTATTTGACTGTGTTTTGAGAAATCATCCTATACATTAAACAATTTATGCCTGAAAGAAGGAACATTAAAAAATCTAAATATAGGCTCCTATATATAGATCTATATCCTATAGGCTGAAGGTACTGTTAATACATTTAATTTAATAAAGTGAGTTCGACAGTCTTCTCTGAATCTTAGATTTGCTATTATTCGAATTGTCTTTCTCTGAAGTCGGAATAGACGATGTGGTATGGAGGTATGCCCCCACAAAAGAATACCATACGTAAGATGTGAGTCACATATTGCGAAGTACACATTGCGGAGGTACTCAAATGGAAGTTGATCTTTGAGACATCTTATTACAAAAAATGTGTTTGGTTATTTTTCTTGCGAAACTAAATGATTTAGAAATAATACAAAAGCGCAAAAACTAATTGTGACGTCAAGAGACAAAAAGTAGTGACAAGTCAATGTTACCAATTTTCTCGGAATAAAAGAAGCACAAGTAATATCCGAAAGATCAAGAAGATATGCCGGAAAGTAGACCTACTTTTTCATAATCTACGGAAATAATGATTTTATTGATGATTCCAGCATTTTGAGTGTAAGGCATTTAAATGAGCGAATAGTTTCTGTAAAGTGATTTTTTTTTCTTTATTTATCTTATTATTAACTAATTTTAAAGCCCTCTTAAATTGGTAGTTTATATGTACAATAACCTACTACGAATTGATTAATTGCATTTTGTCAGTTGCTTTGAAATGTTCGCAAAGCATGTTTTCGTCTGAAAACGTTACAATTATTTCATTGCGTTTCCAGGATGCTGCCATCGTTTTCATTCAACTACCTGTCAAAATATTTTGTCGCATTATTCCGGAAATTGCACTAACATAAACCTTTTCCTTTCATCGTTCGTGGATATTTATCTCAGGGTTATGTACCAAATGTAGACAATTTAATGACAAACTTTTTTTGGAAATTTCTTTCTCTACCTTACTTAGATGACGTGCACTACATAAAGGAGTGTCCAACAGGACAGTTGTATCAAACTTTTTCTTATTAACTGTATACTCATTTTTTACGTAGTTGTAACTTAAACAAGGAGAAAACCAGTAGCCCCATTGGATTTCGTCATTCAGATACGATGTCTGGCTTTTGGAAGTTTGCCCTGTAAGAACGGAATTTCCAGTTAATGTAGCCACTAACTCGAATTTTGTTAGCATGAGATTTTGAGCTGAAATATTCCACAATGGGCTCTCTGAATCAATTTCATGGATGATCTCTAGTGGCCAGAATAATATACCGTGAGGAACTAATTTGAGTTCGTTTATATAATTGGGAAGAAGTTCTCCTTCCACAGAAACCTTTTGTGTGATCAGAAATAGTCTGACTTGACTTCCTATCCAGTGTTTGCCTGTACTGTCGTTTATTCGGAAAATGAGACATAGTTTCCCGTTGCGCAAACTTATCTAAAACAGAAAAAGAAATTTAGGACTTGGTACTTCATATACACAATCAAAAGTTACTCACCACAGCCTTTTTGCTGAACATTGTATGGTTGATTCTTATTGCTGGCCTGCTCATTTTCACATACACAACTGATATGAAAGCACCGTCAATAAATATGGTGACTAGAGTACTACACGTCAGTATAAGCCAAACTAAGTAGCAGTATTCTGTGGGATGAAAGTACCCATATCCCGTAGTTGTTATTGTTTCTATTCCAAGCATAAAAAAGCTGGTAAAGTTGTGAACTCCGTTGATGCATTTTGGCTCAGAAGGTAAACTGTTGAAGTCTCCGCTTACCCAAGCGTCAAGCAAGAACAGTTCTGCGAATGAGAAATAAGCTATTACGTTAATTAGAGAAACCGTGAGCATTAGCCACCGCCAACGCATATTCACTAAAGTGTTCCATAAATCTCTGACGTAACGAATTGATTTTTCTGGAATTTTATATAGGTAGACGTTGAGACGGCCCCTTTTGTTCATTATCCTGTTTTCTTCATTATATTGTATTTTTCTGTTTCTGAATTAGAATAATTATAGAGAATTACTATTATATTATTGACATGTCTACTTACCGACGTTTTGGACGTTTTTTAATAACCATTGGAAAATGACCATTAACACTCATTTTACTGTCCATCTCGGTAAGAATGTCCAAATAGAACTGATGACGGTACAGACATTCTTTTTTCAGATAAATACACCAAGTCATATAAATTGTTTGTATTCTTAATCCTGTGGACAGACAGCTGGCGGTAGATTCCACCACGTAAGCAAATAATAATTGTTTAAACAAAAATATTTTAAATGCTGTAAATTATCTGCTATTTTCAACAAATAAATGACGATAAAAAAAATAATTAGAATTTATTAAAGTTTTTGTGGCTAAAAATGTAACACAATGGAGATTATAAATTGTTTTAAATAATGTCTTTAATTAATGACGGTTGATTAACTAAAAGATAAGGTGTACAAACCGATTCAAAAATCTTTGTTTTGGAAAGAGATTTATCGTAGAGATTAGTACTGACCTTTGTAACAAAATATCGTCAATATTTTAGAGGGCTTAATTTATCTACGGAGATTTTACCTTTTTAAACTAATGACAAAAAGCATTGAGACACAAAAATATCTGAAAAATTTATCCTAATTGCAATAGCAATAAATATTTTTCAAAAATTATCAAAAATGGTTCTATTTGTTAATTTTTTTTACATCACAAATATCAAAGTAAGGAAAGATCACATTAAAATTTGTAACAATCCCAATAATAATAACACTTGATTTACAACAACACGATTATGTTATAAATATTACGAAAAAGAGAGATAAATAGTACTAAAAATGCTGCCGCTTACATCATTCCATTGCCTCTAACCGTCTAAGAGCGCAACGCGTTCTTGTTTAATATTAAATTAGATCTGGTGCAGGAGATGTGTTTTTGAAAGTTAGTGGTGTCTCGATTGATGCATTTTCGTTACACGAGTTGGTAATTATCAAGAAACAAAAGCAAAAATTCTGGAAGTTTTAACTATAAACGTTGTCAGAGAAAAGAACATCACACTTGTAACGAACTGAAATCCGTGTCTCCGGCTTGAGAGCAACCCCGGCGCTCCCTCCCCTGGAGAGGCAGCTGGCGCCCGAGCGACCGCCGCTTCTGACCGAAAGCGCCACCCCCAGCGGCGTGAAGGTTGCCGCATAAGCTTAGGTCGGCCAGACGTGTTTTTTTTTTTAAATTAGCGACACTAGTCGGCCCTGTATTGATTGAAATTAGGTGCCCATGAAGATAAAGTTAATAAAGCAGTATTTCAATATTAGATTTTTATTAGTGAAATAGTGTGAACAAAAATGTTTGAAAGAGTTTTAGTCACCTTGAATAAACATTAACAAAATTTGATTTGCTGTCTTCTCTAAAAACAATATAACGTTTCAAAAAAGTTTAAATAAATAATTATTAAAATGATACTTTAAAATCACGTATTGATACTTTAGTAATATATTTTTAATTCAAAGGATGGCATATAGGGGATATCTAAATAATAATAGATACTTGGACCAATTTAACAATGTATGTTTTTAATTTTCTCTGACATATGCACAGTTAATTGCGCTTCAGGGGAGAGGGAATTCTTCCTTAAATAACTTTGGGTCACTCAACCCTCCCAAAAAATCGATGACGTCATCTCAAAATTTTGCTCAAAATATGCAAAATATGATGACTTTTTGCTTGTGATTTATCATTGCATTCATATTTTTTAGACTTGCTTACACAGGTGGCTGAACAAAAGTAATGAAAGAGTCATTTTATTTTATTGATTAAATCAAAAACGGCTCACTCCATTTTCCCAGAAAATTTTGGGAATACAATACTGTTATTTTTGGTATTATACTGCACCAATCCAAGATATCCGTGTCCTCGTAAAAATGTTGATGACGTCATCACAAAATTGTGTAAGGAAAAAACTCGAAAATGCTGGATATGTTTCATTGTACGTTATAGGTGCCAGAGAAGTTCTGTAAAAACAACTTTCGGACAATTTTTTCTCTCAGCGCGAAATCTTAATTCAAACTGGGACACCACAACATTTTTATTTAACTTTTAGGGATTACCATAAGTAAATTAAATTCGCTAAGTCAAATTTTTAACATTTTTCAAAAAAGTTGATTTTTTTTTATTTATTTTCAAAATTACAATATGTGTAAGAAATAAATTATAGAATAGACAATTTTAAAGAACTTTATTTGTGAAAATCATCATAAAACTAATAGCAACTTCTGGATTTTACTGACATTAAAACATTTTAGGTATTTACTAGAATTACCCCGTTTCCTATTTTTATAAAAAAACTTTATTCTTTAAAAACATTAATAATACGACATCTATGTAATCGAGCAAGTACAATAATAATCTAAAATTCTCGCTCAGAAGGTACATCGAGACAAAAGTGTTATGATACATTATTTACTCGCAGAGTATAACAAAAAAATGTTAAAACTAAGGCTCGAGTTATACCTCCGTGGTATATCTAAAAAAGTTAGTATTTTTAGAACATGTCTCACCTTTTAGGCTTAAGGACGTATAACAATGTATATTTTGCATATTATTCATGTGGACGCAGGCACGTGCATATGTAAATTTAATGGTTACAAGACTGGGCAGTAAAAATGTAAAAATGCAAAATATATTTAATATAACACAAAAAAGTCCAACAATTTTCTTTCTTCCGGGAGCAATTGTCTCACCTCTTTAGCTTAAAAAACGCATAAGATGGCATATTATTTTTGCATATTCATGTGTAACTACAAACCACGTACATATGTAAATACACCGATCAAAATTTTGAGTAGTAAAAAATGTAGATGATACCTACTTAGCACTAAACAATGACACAAAACAAACAAAAATACAAGAATGCAAAATATAATACAATATACGAAAAGTTTTCTTTCTTCCGGAACCAATTCTAGTCAAAGAAACAATACATATTGTAGTAATATTTAATTCTGTTACTTACATTAAAAATGTTAAAAAAACGTCCTTATAGCACCCCTAAGATTTCAATTTTGTTACCCAGTTTACTCTTGCCTCTAAAGAGAAAATGACAAACTGTTGTTATATTGGATATAAAAAATTACGTAGGAATAAAAATTCCGTAACCTAATGAAGTTTTTCAGTGCACATAATTCGAGCCGTAGTTATAACTTTTTCTAATATTAATAATATTGAAACATTCAACATTTACTAAGTTACTTTCTTCTAGGTTATGCTCTCTTTGGCTTTAATTCTGAGTTATTTAAACCATAAATAAATAAATAAATACATCAAATTAACGACACGATCTTATAACCGGTAGCAATACAGTTTTTTCTTATTTAAAACAAGTTGATCAATATGGCTACCAAAGTCAACACTTTGAAGGAAGTGGCCGCTGTAACGAAATCAGCAGCGCTGTCCATTTCACTGACCTTGAGATAAACAACTCTGTCATTAAGCTCTTGTACAGGTCTATAATTTGTAGTCAATAATGTATTTTCTTCCGTCGTTAACTGAGTGAAGGTTCTAAGCTAAAAAAAACAAGCCTGACCTTTAATTCAATGTACAATTTTACTAACCTGATGGCTTGAAATTGGTAGACCATTTGTAAAAACTGTCCAAGTTACTCCTTCTGTACAATTAGGTGTAGTCAAAGAACCTTCGTATCGGTAAAATCCAGCTCTGTCATGAGGAAGAAAGTCATCCAGTTCCAATCTTTGAATCGCTACAGGTACATTTAATCTAACTTTCTGCTGCTGTATTTGACGAACTGCTGTAATGATCGGGGCCAAGTCTTCATAGTCGTCTGGGGATAGCTTCACAGTACATTAACTACTTTCAAAAAGTTGCACTATGATATTACAACTTACATATAGAAACACACCTAGGACAGCCACACGACCCACCGTTAGTGCTTGAGAAAGATCTTTGTATTTGTTACTGTAGTGTACTAAATGAATTTCTCCCGCATACCTGGAAGTGAAGACAAAATCTTTTATCAACTCCAGAGGAAAAAAGGAAAAACGAAATACCTTTTATCGCCTTCAAGATGTTCTGACCCCCAGTGAAAATGGAAAGAATCCAAAACGTAAACTCCGTCTAAACCACCACCCGCCAACATTGGTCTCTTTGAAGTTTCCAAGTTTACAACAGCTGAAGCAGAATTTATTCAGTTCAGAATAAAACTTTTCATATTTTACCTGTGTGTCCATTATTTTTTATGTTGGCGTTGTAAAGTTGATCGTAGCCGTCGAATGTGAATGGTGGGAAGGTTTTGCCTTCGGATGTGTCAGGGGTTAGGGTGATTGGAGATTGCTTTTTTCCGGAAGAACATTGCTTGTCCCAGTGGTCTATATTTGCAAAAATATTATTAAATACTACATATCAATTTTTACAGATTTAGGTTTTTGTTGAACAACCTTGTTTTCAGAGACAAGAATTTTGTAAACAACAAATTTCAAAAATAAATATAATTATACTTCGTTCTGTACTCAACAGAGGGTTCAATCCATTCTTGAAGAAGTTTCATTGTTTTTCTTAGAAAACTTCCGATTTATTGAAGGCTCCTCAGCGGAGCTAGAACTCTTCGGTAACGCGTTTAGATTGAAGGGGAAATCATAATTTAGGACATTGCAAATATGACGCACATACTGTTCAAACTAGTTCAACTTTTTTTTAGTCTGAAAAACCTTTTTTCTAAAAATTAGGTCGACAGTAGAGGTCATATGTGAAGTCCAGCTCGCAGCCCAGATATTTATTTTTGTGGTGATACATAAAACATCTGACATATCTGCGACCCTTGCGTGATATAGAAAATTAAGCTAATTGGTAAGTGTTTTACCATCTAAGTACACGAGATATTCCTAATTAATAAAAGTCGACACAGACAGATAGACGGAAACGGAGACCTACTTTTTCTTACTCTAGGGGTCATGAACGGTCGAGAAAACATAAAAGTAGCCTTCGACCAATGGACCTTATTACAATACTTCCGTAGCTTAGAAAGTATCTAAAAATAATTTGAAACAAGAGTAGACAGACGAAAAAACCGTAATAACAGAGCAGATCATAGAGCAGAGGAGGAAATATAGAAACATAGATAGAAGGAAATTGAACGAACATACACAAAGTACTTCAAGCAGTAAAAGTAGCAAAAGAAAAATGGCTAGCTTAGAAATGTCTAGAAATATGAATTTATTTGCCATATTCGTGACAGTTTCGCAAAACAACATTCTGCTTTCTATGTTTTCTTCAAAAATTTGTTGCTATATTGCATATTTATAAGATTTAAATTTTGGGCGTTTTACTTTAAAAGTTTTGAACCGTCGACCAAAAATTTGGTCCCATTTGTCTCAATGATGCATTTTTATCCTTGCCCATACTAAAAAGAACAGCTTCAACTTTTTCGTCATAAACACCAGGATTTTTAGTTATCATTGAAATGTCATTGAAATTAACACGTTCGAGATAATTTGAATGTTTTTGCACTAAAAATGGAAAATTAGGTTGACAAAGAATGAAGATCCTTCCGATCTCATCCACCGAAAATAGCACAGAAAGTGGAAAATGTATCACTAAACCTTTTACCTCAGACATCAAAAGAGAGGTATAAAGCGTCTTATGAACAATATATGAAATGGAGAAAAAAAATTAGTGGAAGGTTATTTCGACAGAAATTCCCTCACCCTTGAAGTGTAGAAAAGACCAATTTTGCTTCTTTAAAAAATTATAAAGTTTGATTTTGTGGTCAAATATATTTAAAGCAGATAACTAACGAGATAAAATGTCCATTCAGCATTAATAACAAGCTGAAGCTGAGCAGTTTCGGAGGTTACGTGTCTAATAAAAATGGATACAGATACCAGACAGACAGACGGAAACGGGAGACTACTATTTCGTACTGTAGGGATCATGAAACGTCGAGAAAATATAGAAATGGCCATTCGTCCGATGGACCCGATTACTATACTTCCTTAGCTTACGCTCGGAAAGTAACAAGAAAGAAAAAAAAAGCAGCCAAGTTTGGCATCTAACGTGCGACCGCAAGTTGGTATTCGCCTCAATGGTAACATGTCTACCACAGCTATATCCCGTGTTTGTAGAAGATATTATTATTTGTTTGCAAATACTTTTACGAAAATTTGGACATTTATAGAAAAAATTTAAAGCAGATTCGTACACCAGAATTGTAGGAGTATAATGCTGTAAAATATTTAAATCATTTTAAAATAGAATTTTTTAAGATGACGTCATCAAATTGTTGGTGGGGATAACTACCTAAATTTGGTTAGCGTTTAACCATCTGTATGATATTCCTAATCTATACACAAAATTTGACAAGAATCGGTCTAGTAGTTTCAGAGATTACATGACTAATAAAAATAGACACAGACGCCAGACAGACAGACAGACGGAAACTAGAAATCACTTTTTTCGTACTAAGAGATCATGAAAACATAAAATTGGTAAGTCGGCCGATGGATTTATTAAACTTACTAGAGAATTACATTCCAAAGAGGTCTAAAATTTTAACTGAATCAGATTTTAAAGGATTTTACTTCCCGAGCGTAAGCAAAGGAAGTATTGTAATCGAGTCCGTCATACAACTCTCTACTTTTACGTTTTCTCGATCTTTCATGACTCCTAGAAAACGAAGAAATAGGTCCCCCATTTCCGTCTGTCTGTCCGTCTGTCCGTCTGTCTGCCGTCCCGGATTTTTATTAGATAGATAATCTCCGAAAGTACTGGACCGATTTTTGTGAAATTTTGTATGTATGAATACTCGTACATACGTACAGTTGCGCTCTTCCAAAAGTACACGATAATTTTCTCTATTGAAAATATGTTCAAATCATAAGCAAAGGAAGTATTGTAATCGAGTCCGTCGGCGCACTCTCTACTTTTACGTTTTCTCGATCTTTCATGACCCCTAGAAGACGAAGAAATAGGTCTCCCATTTCCGTCTGTCTGTCCGTCTGTCCGTCCGTCTGTCCGTCCGTCTGTCCGTCCGTCTGTCCGTCCGTCTGTCCGTCCGTCTGTCCGTCCGTCTGTCCGTCTGTCCGTCTGTTGTCCCGGATTTTTATTAGACAGATAATCTCCGAAAGTGCTCGACCGATTGTTGTGAAATTTTGTACTTATATTAGGAATATCATGTAGATGGTAAAACGCTAACCAAAATTTGTCTAATCATCCCCACCACTAGTGCGATGACATCACTTCAAAAGTGTACATAGTAAATGGGTTTTAAATTGTGCAAAATAACATAGTCCTCCAAATTGAATTTTTACCCGAAACGTCCAGATTTTTGGAAAAAAAATCAAAATTATAAAACAACATTTTTCAATTTAATTTTGAATCTGCTAACCCGAATGTTTTGAAATGTTGCAGATGTTTTAAGGCTATAAAGAGCATCATAAATCTTTAGTCAAAATATATTTGGTTATCCCCTCCAAAAACTTGATGACGTCAGCTCAAAAGTTTGCTGAATATATCCTATCTAAAATGTACAAAATATGATGAGTCTGTACTTGTGATATATCACTCCATTCATATTCTTGGGATTTGCATATACAGGGTGGCTCAAAAAAAATTAATGAATGCCTAAATTTATTTTACTGATTTACTCAGGAATCACAAAACCGAATGCTTTGAAATCTTGAAGATTGGTCGTCCCCCCTAAAAAATTTATGACGTCACCACAACATTTTGCTGAATAAATCCTATCTAAAATGTACAAAATATGGTGAGTCTCTTGTTGTGATTTATCATTCCATTCACATTTTTTTATTTGCATATACAGGGTGACTCAAAAAAATTAATGAAAGCGTACATTTATTTTATTGATTTACTCAGGAACTTCAAAACCGAATGCTTTGAAATCTTGAAGACGTTTTAAAGTTATCATAAGCATGGTAAGTTTTTGATCAAAATGCATTTGCTCATCCCCCCTAAAAAGTTTATGACGTCACCACAAAATTTTGCTGAATAAATCCTATCAAAATGTACAAAATATGATGAGTCTCTTCTTGTGATTTATCATTCCATTTATATTTTTTGAATTTGCATATATGTACCGGATGACTCAAAAAAAAAATCAATGCGTAAATTTATTTTATTGGTTTACTCAGGAACTACAAAACCGAATGCTTTGAAATCTACTGCGAAAAAAAACATAATAGGCATGCAGTCGTCACGTTTCCGACAGCGAGGGAAGTACTGTCTAAACTCTTTAGACCAATTTTTTATCTTCTATCCCGGATGAAAGCTTCGCGAGACTCCCGGGTAGGAAGCAGCTAGAAAGCATGCACGGATGGATCTGCATTGCTATGGACAAGGCGACAAAAAGGTTTGTTAAAGGTAAAAGTAAAACAGCAGCCTGGTGGACCACTAAAAGATTTAAAAGGTCGAGTTGCGAAAGCAAGAAAAAATGGCAGTTGATTCATAAACGAGAGAGGAATTTAGACGGAAACGGGAGGTGCAGGTTCGAGTACCAAGGCTTGCTCAGACATTATAAAAAGGACATCAAGGAGACAAAGGTCTTATGGTGGAGGAATTTTGTCCGGTTTGTTGGCAATGCAGATCCGTGGGGTGCAGTTTATAAGCTCTGTAGGAGTGAGAAGAACGAAGAGCTGGTAGGCATATGGGACGGTGATAAGAAAACGGAAACGAGGAGACATACGGTGGAGGTATTGTTGGGAGAGTTTTTCCCAGTTGACGTTCCCGTGAACTATGAATTGTATGAAGTCGTGGAGAAAGTGAATTATGATGAGGTTGAAAGGGGCGTGAGGAGTATGAGGAGGAAGAAGAAGTCGTCGGGAATGGATAGTGTGACGCCTGAAATGATGGCCCTTGTGTGGGAGACTGTTCCGGACGAATGGGAGGTAGCGCGACTGGTCATCCTCTTGAAGGGCATGGATAAGGATAGGTCATTACGGAGGTCGTATAGACCTATCTGCCTTTTGAGTGTGATGGGAAAATTGTTTGAGAGAGTACTGGTGGGGAAATTGGCGAGGGTACTCGGAAGAAGGTCGAGGGCTCAGTTCGGATTCGTGAAAGGATTGGGAATACAGGATGCATAAGAGTGAAACAGGTTGTGGAGTGGTCGGAAAAGAAGTACGTGTTGGGAATTTTTGTTGATTTTAAAGGAGCGTTTGATAATCTGAGCTGGAATGCGGTGTTGAATAAATTGATGGAAGTCGGATGTAAGGAAATCAAAATTTGGGCGAGTTATTTTAGAGATCAGAAAGTGTGTGTGGTAGGAGGGGAAATGAGGTGGAAAGGAAGGTGTGTGGAGGATGTCCACAAGGATCTATCTGTGGACCGGCGCTTTGGAACATGATAATGGATGGGTTGTTGGAAGAGATTGGAAGAAGGGAGAGATCGTGTGTGGCGTATGCGGATGATCTGTTGTATATGATTGAGGCGGATAATAGAAACGAAATTGAGGATGTGGGAACGGAGGTGATGGAAATGGTGCTTAGGGGAATGGAGTGGGTGTCGAGATCTCCAGGGAGAAAATGGTATATCAAGAATTGATGGTTACGTGTGCTTCGTTTGGTGTGGGGGTGTGGTGTGATGTGTTAAGGTTTGGGTATTCGAGGGAGTTGGTGAACAGGTGTAAAATGAGCGTGTTGTATGGGTGCATGGTGTTTTGTAGGACAGTGAGTACAGATGCGATGCAAGTGTTTATGGGAGAGTTACCGTGGAATTTGGAATTTTTGAGGTGAAGAGTGATGTTTAGGGCGAAAAGGGAAGTGAGTCTAAGAGAATTGGCATGGCTGAAGATTAGGTTGGAAGAGGGAGAGAATCTGGAGAAAAAGGGTGTGTTGGATGCGAAACTGTGGGAGATCTGGCAAAGAAGATGGGATATGAGCGAGAAGGGTAGAGTGACTCATGATTTTGTTCCGAGTGTGAGGTTTGCGAGTGAGAATGCTTGGTTTGAACCAGTTTGTTGAGAGGACTGAGTGATACGGATCTGTGTGGTTGCGTTAGGGTAGAGAATGTTTCGCATATTGTTTTCGAGCGTGGATTGTATGATGAGGAAAGAAGGAGTTGTGAATGGTCAGGATGGATGGGGGAAGAGGAAAGACGATTTGAGAGGTTGTTGGAATCAAAGGAGATATATGAAATACTAATGAGATTCGCGGAAAGGGTGTTTAAGAAAAGGGAAAAGATGAGAGAGCGTGTGACGGTGAGGTATAAAGATACAAGTACCGGCACTGTAATAATAAATGGAATGTGTGTGTTCAAGCCCGGATGAAAAATATTTACTTGTGAAGGTATTTATTTTTTTAATTTTTACAGATTAATACTAATGATTTATAGATTTCTGAATTGCGTACTTGACAAGTATTCGAACTAACAAAATCGGAAATATGGCCAAAGAATTTGAGCAGTGTTTAAAATTAATGTAGAAAAGTATACTGGACACTATTTTGGGCGTTCGTCAGACACACTCCTAGTTAATGGAGGCTGCGATTTATTAAGCTTGAACTTGGCAGTTCGGTGGAATCACCCCCTCTCAATACATCATTGATAACTGATGAGGTACAAGCTATAGTAGAGGATTTCTCCAGTGATACAGATGCTTCATACTCATCGAAGTATTAGATAAATATATCAATCAAACAGACACAGATTCCTTTAATTAATTTAGAAAACTGTCTCAATTTTACAATCATTTTTTAAAAAAGTTTAAACAATTAATCATTTGTTTTAAAAGATTTCACTACGATTATATTATAAGCAATAATAAACATGTTAAAATGTCAAGTACTTTGCTTTAATTTAAGTGTACCAAAAGCATAGTTTGCAACACGTTTGGAATTGACGCTTGTCACACTTCTTTAATTGTCAGTACTCATCTGCCGCTTCGTGCTGATAAATATCAATCTCGTTTGAACAGTCTTTTTCAAAATTAGTTGCACAATATACTGTTTCTTATTTCTAATTATAAACACTAAAGATGTTTGAGCAGAAAAAATAATAACTATAATCGATATGACCTAAAAAATTAAATGCGATATGAAAAGCGAGCATTAAATATTTTACAATTAAGGACCCCCAATGTCATTTATAACCAACTTAAAAAAGTCGCAATTTTGATCCTTGAGGTATGGCATCTAAGTACTTGTTCATAATGTTTGGAATAGCTTGCAAAGTAATGTACATAGGTACGCGTTACGACCTTCTAGATAAGTTTTACTAATATTATAAGATTTATAAGTGTTACTGAAAAACCAAATGTTATGTGATTAGCTATTACTCTTTGAAATAAAAGATGATGGTTTATCCCGTGAAATGCTTTCGAGAAATCTGCATAAATACAATCAACTTGACCTCGCTTATCAAGTTTTCAAGTCAAGACTAATCTTTTTGATATACGAGTTGTACACAGTTTTGAAGTAAATTTTTACGGAGCGTTGTAAAATGTTCATAAATCTGCTTGCTTACATTTTAAACTTTTTCCAAACGTGATAATCTAATTAAAGAAATTAATGTTTTAGGATACCAGATTGGAAAATTTTTATGAGGTTTTCGCTTGAATGGCACTCATTTCACAAAAATTGCATCTATACAGTTGATAATAGAATCAAGCAGTAGGTTTATTTACATCTAAACTAATCAGTTTATTTACACCTTCGATGAAATTCTCAAATTCTACCGGCATAAAACTCTCCAGAATTATATCTGATTAACAAATTGTTTTCTTTGGAATAAATACGAACTTAATAATTTCAAAAGTGTATGAGATACACCAAAAGCAAAAAGTTTATAAAAGTATAGCATAACCCAACTCGTCAAGTGCTTTTGAGAGATTTATGTAAATAACGTCAGTTTAGCAACCATTTCTATTAAGAACATGGAGAAAATATTGGAATTGCAGAATTCACTATTGGAAAGAGATTAAAACTTGGAAACAAGATTTTCCTTTAAGTATCATATCGAAAAACACTCCGTATTTCACAACAGTTGATTCAAAAATAAAAATTACCTAGAACCCAACGTTTTAAGACAATTTGTATCAAAACTTATGGCAAAAGTGGAAAAACCTGTAACTGGGATATCCAATACTGCAGGACAGACGAATATGTAATTTTCGCGGCTTCTTTTACTAATTTGTTATCCTCAAAATGATACATAATAACCGTTACCATAAAAGAAATATATTATTTAATTTTAAATATTATAAATCTTACTCCATTTTTAGGTTTTTGACATTATATTAAAATTAAAAAAAAACACCTTCTTGTTTAAAAAATAACTGAGGAAAAATAAGCCGACTATAATCACATTTTATTACAACAGAGTAAAACTAAAAATATTTTTTAATTATTTACACTGAAGTTTATAATCAAAAACCACAAAATTTATTTCTTTTTCTATCTAACACAGTACGTACAATAAACCATTTTTTTTTTTTGTATGGAAACTAGTAACTTAATATTGCAAATTCTGTGTCTGTATTTAGTTACTCCACTACATACTAATTCTATGATTATACGTCCTTAAAATAGGTACATTTGTTTGAGCTATTAATATGTAAGAATCAAATAATCGCACGATTATTTTTCGAGCAAGATTCAATAAAACGAGAATTATCCAGGCTAATAAAACACAACTAAAATTCAAATAATAAATAGTTCATCCTAAAATTAGTTGTGACGGTCGTAAAGCAGGTCGTTTTAAGTATCACGTTTGGCACAAACCCCGATGCAGCAAGGAAGAATTTTTTAGTTATTACATTCTATTATCTTGTTTTTAAATTTAACTCGCTAATGTTACGTAAAGTTTGCTTACCTATGTCCTTGTAGCTCCAGTGGGCTGCGTGCAATTTTCCTGAAAATAAAATTTGCTTTCTTTAAAAATATTGTACCGGTGCGAAAGAAAAAACTAAATATTTTTATTCCTCGCTAATCAAAGCAGAGCGAGTTGGCGTCTCTTCAAAGTGTTGTCTTAAAAAAACGAAAAGTGTGGTGATGCTTTGCTCTTTGCCTCGATATCCGTTAGAGGGGCACGTACTTAAATTTTAACGTTATCTTTAGATTGGATGCAGAGAAAATATTTTCGTAAACAACAAAATAATTGCAATTTGTTTGATAGTTTCATAGATTTATGGGAAAAAAATTATAATTCCAGACAATAAATTGACACGTTTCGGTAATAAAATAAACATCGTCAGGATACTTTAGCAACAAAGTTATATTAAGGTTGGCTGCGCAGTTGTCTATTAACTACTACACTAAAAATTTCAAGGGTTCGAAGTAATTAGAACTTATTAATCAACGAATCTTTCGGCAGCTTCGTTTAGTGCTATTTTTCTTTTTTCATTTACCAGTTTCACAAACTTTAATCCAGGTTTAAGAACTCTGAGGGACAATCAAACGTAAGACGTCTGCCTAAAATCACATTTTTCAGTGAAAGACAAATTTATTCTTTACTTTTGGATCTTATAATGTCGTCAGAAGTCTTAAAAAAATGTATTCAAGAACAAGGTCCATTATCACGATTTAAAAATTCGTTTGCAATTTTTTAGAATCGAAAAATAAAATGTTGCTTAATGTTTGCTTAAAAATAATTACAGAAATGATGAAAAAAGTTTAAAAATATATAGGTGCAATAGTGAAGACTTGAAGAGAAGAAGAAAGTTAGTTATTTGTAGTTTAAGAGTCCACACATTTTTTTATTTTAACTTGTTACATAATTTATAATAAATTTTCTTATAATAAATATAAATAACCAACCTAACTTCATGAAATCTTTGGAACATTGTATATATCAGAATCTGCACATTTATATGCATTCAAAAGCTGGCAACAACATTTAAAAATTATATTTAAAGAAATCTTGGTTGAAAAATAGCTCTGAGGTGAGCTATTGCTTGTGTTTGATAATAGTCTTTTTTTTGAAGTTCTTACATAACGTATTAAAAAAAGGCATATGAACCGGTCTACTGCACCAATTATTTGAGCAACTGGTCATCTAATTTTCCAAAAATTGTCACAACACAGTTATGTTGACTGCATATTTAAATTTTTATAATATTTTGAAAGAGTTATATTATAACATTTTAGTTTCTCTTTTTAATATATTTTTGTAGCTGGCATTTTTGTGTCAAAAAATGCATTTGATACTTTTGGGATGGCTTGTGTAGCTGGCTTACCAGGAATTTTCTTGTATGCAAGTGATTTGGTAACTTTAAACCGCTGCAAAATTCTGTATATAGTCGATCGAGCTATTCCTTCCTTTTGGAAGTGTTGCACAGTAAGATTTTTCTGTCGATCGGCTTGGTTTAAATAATAATGCACAACTCTTTTAGCAAACTGTTCATTTTCGATTCTCGCCATTTTGCACAGTGTTATTAAAATTCTAATTCGAACGAACCTTTAAGCAATATATGGCCAGGTTTACAAAAATTTGACAGAACACTAATTTTTTTGTACGTCAAAAAATACAGGCGAACTAATTATTTTTGTACGTCTATTAATCGGACAACCCATATTTTGCCATAAAATTGCACTATTTTAAACCACATTATTTTGCTTTGAGGTTTAATAAAAAAGTACTCACCAAAATTACACAGAAACACAGCTAGAAAAACCACCCCCGATATTCTAATCATCTTGCACTTGATGAACAACTAAGTTATAAAAGTCGTTGCTAACTACCTTCCGAGAAAATATCTGACAGTGTATTGGCAAACTGCCCCCCGATACGAAAATAAACTGAACTTTCGGTGAATTTTTTCACAGCTATTGCCATTCTTGTTATTAACACAGGCGATAAGGACACAACAATAATTACAACTAAAGTATGACCCTAAGTGTAACTCACTAACGAAGCTTGTGTGATTACTGATAGTTTTAAAGAATACGCGTTTAAATAGATAAAAATATTCCTAACTGGTCTGTTTTATTTTAAAAATGAATCCTAATTTATTTTTCTGGTTGTTGTTACATCGCAGCCAACACTAACTGTCCTAATAGATCGCCTTCCTTAATTATGTATTTACATAATTTCTGACACTTATCGCATATCTCCTCCTCAATCATCTTATTAACAGTAAAAAAGATTTTGAGACGTGCTTAATACAAAAATTGTGTGTCTAGATTTCAGTGTTATTATTTTGTTTCATTAATTAAGATAAACTTTGAGCGGAACTGCAACATGCACTTGTAATATATACTTTGAACGATGATGCAGTTCGGGCTATTAATACTTGGCCGGCTTAAATTTTCTCAGTTATACCAGAAATTCATAGTTGCAAATCTTAGTTTAAATGTGAGTTCAAAAAAAAACATTTTGAGTTTTAGGTAATTATTTCTGTGCCATTAAACAAATAAAATAGGAAAAAAAAATAGTGACCGTGAATACTACCTATTGTTAAAATATGCATACAGTCAAAGCTTTTTGTAACATTAAAATAAAATGACTAAGTGCAACACATTAAACTTAAAATGCTTCCTTTTGAGTTAATTGCAAACCTTGAAAAGCTGTTTACCTATTATTTATATGCTTATTGTGGTTTGTGGCCATTCTTATCAGTTATATCAGTTGCGTTAGTGTCATATTTATTACTTAGCACAGTTGCCATCAATCATGCATTGGAGCTCTCTAGTGTACAAAAATGGCTTTCACTAATTTACTAATTTATCGAGTAACCTCAAAACGGAGAAAATAGTCTAAATTGTACAATACAGTTAAAGCCGAACATTATTCGCCTTTTCTAACTCTTTAACAGTAATTAAATAAGAATCTGACACAAAGTTTGCAGATAAAGTACCAACTAATAAATTTGCTATATATCTGCCGCATACATCTTTTGTTTCGTCAACAACAAAGCGAATCAAGTTATTTTGCAAACGTAACTTCATTTTAGCAACAGTTTCGGTATAGCATTTATCTACAGTTCCTACACTACATCAGTACCTAGTAAAATTTTACAACCGTTACTTTGATGGATTGTCGGACAATGTAGGGGGATAATGACGCCAATAAAAGGAGCGTGCCGCCACTGTATAGTGGGCTAGAAACATCCAGGGTTGCATTGAATTTGTGATTTATGGTTTTGTGGGTTCAACCTTCATGGTTAACTTTGAAATACCAATAAAATTTTATTAGATAGTGATGTAGTGTAGGAACTGTACAGTTGTTTTCCTGAGAGTGCTTTTGTCTGGAATGGTCCTTTTACAATATTTTTCCAAAAATGAATTAAATGTAGGATTACTTAATTTTCGAATTTGAATGTTTCCTCTTCATTTTTGGCTGTATTAGCAGATAAAGTTTCTCATATTGATGTTTGAGTTACACTGGCTGAGTTTATTTTTTCAGAATTTCTTTTGTGCTCGAAATGTACAAAAAAAATTGGAAACAAATAATTATTTATGTAAGAGATACCTATTATTGACATTGAATAACATGCAAAACATATTTTTTTATTTGGTTCTCTTAGACTTTGGTCTAAGGACTGAAAATATATTTTAAGGAACTTACTGCTTTGCCGCAAGATTTGCAAAAAACACCATCTCCATCTAGAACTAATTCTGAATAGGGCCGAATCCACGATGACTGTTTGGAAGACATTTTTTTATTTATTCGTAATATCACTGCTCGGTCGCCAAGTTCGTAGTTCAGTGATGATTGAATTTAGAAATCGAAGAATAAAATAGTTAAATCCATTCTAGGCTTTCCATCTCTTCCAACCCCTCGTTAAATGCCTTTGCAGAACTATATATATTTACAACATCCGGCTTAGAGGCCATTGAGTAATACGCCTAACTGGGGGTGCCCATAATTGAAGTCTTGGAAAAACTCGTCCGTATTACTAGAAAACGTCGGAACTAATTTACCTGCAATACTGCCAATAACCAACTGTATTAAAATCGTATGAAAATCAAGATTTTCACCAAATACCACGAAAAATGTAACAAAAATTTTAAAATATGCAATAAATGCAAAAAATAATTAAATATGCAGAATATGCAAAATAATCATCCGAGCCTTGCATATAAGTTAAAATAAAAATATGTATATAATGTTCGAGTAAAGGTAAAGAAGCGTGCTACTCGTTTGTTTCAAGTAAGTTTTTCCATTACAAAATTCGTCATCAACTTTTTTGCAACGACACGTATACCTATCAATTTAGATAGATGCAGTGTAATACTAATAATAGCAGAACTCTTTACACAAATTTTCGGGAGGCGTTTTTGAATCTTGATGACTTAATTAATAAAATAATGAAACGTTTTAATCCCGTTCTCCATATCTAGCAGCAGAGGTGCAACTGAATTGAAAAGCATTTATAAGCATTCTTAATTTAAGATAACTGGCGATAACGCTTGTCGAGCTGTACACGTAAGAGTGAAACAGAGAAACTAAACTAAACGACATTTGAGAAGATTGCTCTAGGGGAGGCTCAGAATCCAGTAAGTAAAAATGGCCTCCCAGCAATAATTCCAATTTGAAATGTTTATATGTTTATACCTCGGAAGAATGTCACGTAGAAATTAGTTTGATTTGAATCAGTTTGTCGCCTCAAAACACAAACACAATCGAACAAAATGTTTTGTATATTATTATTATTATTCTTATTTAACCATTATTAAATAAAGACGTGCGTATTCCCAGATTCTCGAGAAAGGCGGGTGACTCGTTCTTAATTGGATCAATAAAAAAATTAGAGAGTTATTAATTTTATTAAATTTATTTTATCTAATAGAGAAAAGCGGGTTGGGTGGTTAGAGAGACATATTTTGATTAAAAATTTACCATGCTTGCAATAACCTTGAAACATCTGCAAGATTTCAAGTCATTCGTTTTTGCAGTCCCTGATTTAACACTTATTCATCAATTTTTTTTATTCACCCTGTATAAGCAATTGACTCATTCATCATTTTTTTTTATTCACCCTGTATAAGCAACTCTAAAAATATTAAGGCTATGATAAATGACAAGTATAGACTTATCATGTTTTGCACCCTCTTACAATTACCTGACCACACTTGACCTGACTTGACCTTTTTTTTCTGTGAAAGGGGAAACCCTCATGGGCACCAGCGACTTAGGATCGACCGTCGCTGGTAGTGCTAGGACTTCTACCGGCTAAAACCCCTTCCTACCCCCAACCGCGTTAGCATTACTTCAGGATGGTGGTTGGTCGCCAACTACTCCTGTTTTCCTTTCATTTTATTCTTTCAACCTCTAGCTCTTTTCTTTCTTTTGGATTGACTATGTGTACTATGTAGCTGCTAATTTTTTTCGAATTTCCTTCGTTTTCCATTACAAGTGCGACCAGATTATTTTTGCTTTTGTCTTACGGGTTTGCTCTAGTGTGTTTTTCTCGACTCTCCACTCTTTGCATTCAAGTATATGCCCCAGACTGTTGTCTACTCGACACACCTCACACATATCGTTTTCAGACTTGCCAACTCTTTTCTGAGCACTTCGTCGTAGAACATGTCCCAAATGTGAGGGCCCAATACAGATCCGTGGGGAACCTCTGCCGAAGTTTTAAACGTCGTGTTGTATATACATATTAATGCTCTAGGTAGCTCGAAATAAAATTAATTAAGTATTTGGAGAAGTTTTTCTCTTTTAAGCGTGTAATAATCTGTTCCCAAGTAGCCGTATTAAAGGTGTTTTTAACGTCTAGAGTAATGAGTGCGCACTGTTTTCTTTTTCGTCTAGTAGAATTGCTCCTAGCTTTGGCAACTAAATCCAGTATTTTATTTGCAGCATCCATCGTGGATCTTCTGGCCCGAAAGCCGTATTGGTTTGTTGATAGTACTTCTTTTTCCTCTATTTCCTGCCCGAGTCTAGCTAGTATCAAGTGTTCCAACAGAAACGTTTGGTATTTAAGTAAGCCTCCAGTGGAAGGCCATCCGGGCCTGGTACTTTCCCCAGTTTGAGTTTATGGCTAGCCGTCAATAGTTCTTTACTAAAAGGGGGTTCTTCCTACAGGGGAACTGACTTGACCTGACTTGACCTGACGTGACTTTGTCTGCAATAAACAAATTTTAAACATTGCTGTGAATAAATAAAAACAGTATTTTATGAAACAAAAATTGTAATAATTTTTTTTATCTACAAAAATTTCACACCGGCCTATTTTGTCAGGGCTATTTTGACGAGCCACAGCTAAAATGCTCTTGTTGAATTTTTCGATTGCTGTGGTAATTAGGTAGATTTATTTGTTTATCCTGCTAAGTTCGAATTTATGCTACTACACTTTCAAAGCGATGTCTCCTTCGCCATCTAAATTTCCAGTTATTGCTTTGGGTCCTTCAATACTTTTTGATAATATTTCGGGGAGTAATCTATCATCTTCTTCTTCTTCTATTTCTACCTTCTATCTTCAGTAGATATAAAAATGAATGTTTCTTTGTTTATCCCGTATGCATTCCTAAGTATATCATTCATCCGATTGCGATGAAACTTTGATGAGTTGTTGTGCACACACCCGCGAAGGTTTCTGAAGTAGTAGTACAGCCTTTTTACAATAGGTGACGTGCGAATTCATAAATCTGAACGGAATATTAATAAATTTGGGTTAACATTTGGATATTTAAATTTTAGGTTTAACGACTACCCATTAAAGAGTTCTATTTGTGTGAAATATTTCTGATATCTAGAGTTAGAAACATAAAACATTTGTGTTAATCGTTCGGATATGCTTATGTCAGTGACAATAAAAATGTCCGCCTTAAATCGTATTTCTAATGAAATATTTCTTATGCAATGTCTCAGAAAGCTTCAATGCAACATCTTGATGATGTTCCAAATTTGTTACCATTTTGTTTCGGAATAGTTTACATATCTTTGAAATGTTTAAAGTATATACTTTTAAACATATAAACGATAGAAGAAATAATACCTATAATGCAATAATATAAAAAAGTAATTTTTTTCTTTGGTTCTTCGGTGCCGCAATTCAGCTTGCCGAAACCATGCAGCAACCATACTCTCAAAATTTGTATCAGAAAGCTGGAAGGTTTTTCTGATTGCAACTATATAGCATAATGTTAAAACATTTATATCATACTATCAATTCCATTATCTTCAAATATTCTATTCGAAAATTTTGCTTGCGTTCCCACCACGAACATTTTTCTGCCAGTTTATCGGCAAACAAGTTTTTCGAGCATCTGCGTATAAGCTCATTTTCTGTTGAGACGCCACAGAGAAAGAGTACTGCCTTCTAGAGCAACCTACTATGATGCCACCTCTGTTGCCTCTGTGCCGCTTTGGAATTCTTAAGTTCGTTTCATAGTTGATCTTAGAGTGTTTGCAGCAGCTTAATTTACCCTTATAAAAACCTGTTTTATGGGCATAACCATAACGATGCTGTATAGACTTATCGTGAGTCTCGATTCGTTGCACTATACTCACGAGGGGCAGATCTGCCATCATCAAGCTTGTGCAAAACCCAGACGAAGATGGCTTTATCGAGATGGATGAAGCCTTTTCTTCAATAAGTCATTTTAATAAGTACTGTTTGTTTGATATTTATAAATGTCTAATATTCTAGGTATTTCAATATCCCAAAATGACTAGAAAGACATTCTTCATTTCTGGCGTAACCGCAAGCTTGTGATGTTCGTAAAAAAAAATTATGTCGATTTTCTGACACACAATTGGTTGTTTCTAATAATATTTTTGAAGTAATTTGGTAATCGAAATAATAAAAGGGCGGCTGGTTTTTAGACTTTTATTATAAATCCGACACTACATTAAAATTGCGACAAAATAAGGTTAAACTAAATTTTTAATATACAATCACACGTTAGGAATCTAGGAAGGATTTTTTCCCAAAGCGTTGGGTTTATCAAGGGGCTCGTTGAAAGAGCATACCATTCAAGACCGCACCCAGTGATGAAGATCTCTAATGACAGAATAGCAAAGCACCACAGAAGAACATTACAAATATTGGTTTTAGGAAACTTAAAATACGACAAAGGAAACAACATCAACATAAATGCAAATAATAATGCAGGAAAAAATCCACCAACGATGCAATACACAACCCACTCGTGCATACCGAAAGAAAGTAAAAACACTGCTACTCGAGCAAGAAAAGTATTGTCATACACATATTCCTTGAAATCACGGTAAATGTAATAATATAACCAATCATGCACGATTATGTTCCATTCTGTCAACCAAGCATTAAAGCTATGTTGGTTCCACCAATCTAAATAGAATAAACGGTCACCGAATCGGAGCATTTCGGCAAATAAATTTTGTACTGTGTGAAAAACTAAGAAGTACTGGGTCAAAGCCAATGGTGTATACAGGATTTTGTCTAGAAATTCGAAGATCACATCGCTTAACGTATACTTCTGTGCCAGTCTTTCCGGGGATGGAAAAGTGTTCATTGCGCAAAAGGTGAGAACGAAGAAGATAGTAATCGATTCGAGAAGACACTGAACAACAAACTTCCAGTTGATGGTGTTCGTTCGAGGGTAGGTGTCTCTGTAGATGAGGGTAGGAGCAAAAAGGAAGTATAGATATTTAGAAAAAGATAAACCAGAGGGTTCATTCGAAATTTTGCTTCGCACAAAAGCGTGTACTTTCATTAAAAGCCGTGACTAAAAAATGTTGTTTTAATGAGATTCTTCTAATGATAAACTTACCTGTTCATAAGTAAGGAAAAATTTGCCAATCACGTTGAACTCAAAATAGCGTATTGCATAAGTAACTAACTTCAAGCTGCAAAAATAGTACAAAACCAAACATGTTGCTCCGAACCAATAGAAAATAATGGTCTTTCCTGAAAATCAATTATTATTGGTTGAAAACGTCATTCATAAAGCTGTGGTTTCTAGGAAGCGTTTTGTTGCTACTATATTAAGACGTAATCACGAATAGTTGCTAAATTGTATTTGTGGTTTATTGTACTTCAGGGGTGAGGCAATTTCTTTCCAAATAATCTTAACACAACTTTTTGATTTTAATCCCTTCACCGGACCATTACCTTTTAAATCAAAAAATAATTTACGAAGACCTACGAGGGTTCAACAAATTCAGAACATCAAACTATTGATTTTAAAACGGTAGATTCTCTACCCAGAAACCACAGCTTAACTTACCAACCTTTGGCAAACGTTGTAAGAATTAACCACATTTTGAAGACGTAAAACATTGCACAAACTGATGCAAAGCTACACAACCAAACGAAGATGGCTTTATCGAAATGGAGGAAGGCTTTTCTTATGAGTCCAAATCCGAAAGTTATTCTACAATTAGTTGTTGTTTTACTGTTGTTTCTATTTGTTCTTTTACCTTCCTGTTATGAAGTATTCGCTTCCTAGTGTGTGGATAGAAAAACAGATGAAGAAGATGGCCAAGAAATTGTAAAGATTTCGAGTCTGATGATGGTCGAAGATGTCGGTCAGAACAGAATTCCGAATAACGAATTTCTTTTCTATTTTACTAAAAAAGAATCAGATTTGGTCCTCATCTGTGATTTTATTAATACGTACGTTTTTTCCTTTTTGGGATACATGATTAGCTGACAAATGAGTAAGCGCTATGTAATTTTAAAATAAATTTAAAGCTGTTGCTTTTCAGGTTTATAGATGTATTTTTTTTGTTGCAAAGATTAGTGGGTGCAATACATAATTCTAGATAACTGTATACTCAGTTAACTAATGAAAACGCGTTCGCTTATCGTCGCATTGAACACTATGAAGAAATTCTGTGCAAAGTGCTAAAATAATTTAAACTAAACCACTCTGATAAATGTCAAAAAGAAGGAACAAAAGCGGACACTTTTTAATCAGTTTTTTAATAAAATAAGTGTAAAATTACAAGAAAAACTAGTAGAAAATGAATTAATTCTATCAAATAAATTAAATCAAATTACACAAAAAAGTCTGTAGGAGTACGATCACAACACCTCAGCGGCCAGATATGTGATCCTAGCCTACTTCCTTTTCATCGTCGTGCAGTTATGGTATATCTGCCAAAATTTCTTGAAAGATGTAGTGATACGTTTGTTAACACTCAAACGAAACAATAAGTTTTTGAGCCGCGCTCATGCTCGATTTAGGAAATTCATGAAAAATTAATACAGTAGTGTCGACAATGCAGATCAAATAAAAGTTAATTAAATTAGTGATTCGATGGTTTGTTACACTAATGCATTAATATAGATATTTGTATGTATTCGAACGTTCCATAATTTTACCGATTTCGTTGCTTATGCTAAAATACATCTTACCTCTCATCTAAAATAAGATACTACTGCAATTATAGTTTTCAAAAATGGTTTTCAATAGTAGACAGTCAAAATGAATTTGTTCATAGTTTTTTCCTGGAAAACTGTGATGATAAATAATCGTACACCTAATATCTAATTTATGAACTCTTCCGAAACAAAGACTGAGCATTCTGTGGTCAGGGAAACTGGTTCAAACATCAGCATTTTGTTTGGGTAGAGTTTTACGTCGTAATTTTTTAACACGCATAGAACAAAAACACAGCTGGTTCTCCTCCACCACATCTTCGAATAAATTGCCTACATGGTCACTGGGTTTGTTGCTGTTGAATGGTGGAATACATAGCTCAATCACAGCATCAATGATTTCCCCAAAACTAAAACTACCAACATTCTCGGCTTCTTTTACACTATCACCAGTACTATTGCCGACTTTCACCAAAACTTTTTTCACCAGAATTTTCATCTTTTTCGACTTATAATCGTCGATGTCGTTGAAGATTTCCACGTCCGAGTTACATTGAGAAAAACTACGTTTTCCAGACATTATTTTATCTAAAAATAAACAACAAATTACGTCAGAGATAGCAACAACGATAATGACCTAAATAAAAACAAGGAAAAATAGTAAATTATTACGTGTATTCTTGAATCTCCACCTTTACCACTTAGTTGGAATGTTGGATTTTTTAAGCCCGATACTGGCACTTAGGGCCCTGCACTTCTAAATGGAGCGGCAAATTAGAGTTCGCTAGGAATTAAAGGTGTGGCAAAAGGCACACCTATCCTACTGATAACACATAAATTTGGAGATGACGAGATTAAAGATTATTCTTATCGTTATCAGAATTATCTGGTTGTCAAAGAAGACAAACTTATAATGTTCAATTTAAAAAAAAAAAGACAACAATCAACTACCTACATGATTTGTCGAGAAACCTTGACCACATTTGATAATATTGAACGACTCTTTAAAGAGCTTGCATTCATGGCCACAGAGTTGGGAGTCAGTACCAAAGGAAAAAAGCGGTTTAAGTTACTTGAAAGACAATTAAATTTCCACAAGTACGTCTGAAGTCGGAACTGGTTAACCTGAATATGCTGAAGGATGATTTCGACGGTAAGATTAGTCAAACATTGGATAAAATTGAAAAAAGTGCGGTCACGTTTCCAATCTGCCTATTTCATGAAAGATCACTGATAAGTTCGATACAGATTAACAAAGACGTTGAAAGAAATATCTTTAAAAACTCTGTCTAGTAGAAACATAGACGCTTTGGGGTTGCTATAGATGTAAACAATGTACAAAGACCAAGACAATGTGCTGATTGGTAATAGTGACAACAAGATCCACGTTAAAGACAATTACCTACTTTTAACTGGGTGTTCCGGGTAAAATAACGCAAACCTGGATTATTATTTTTTCCTAGATGTACATAATGCGAGACGTTTAGAGATATTTAATGGCAAGTCCCATTTGACGAAAAATAAAATATTAATTCTAGTATTTAAAATGAGTTATAAAAGCAAACTATATATTTCTCTAAATTTTCAATTGTAAATGTACACCTTTGATCGCTTAAAACACTTTTAAGTTTTGAAAACGTGCGTTCCACATCACAAGAATTGATGGGTGTAAAATTAAATATTGAACAATCTACGTTTTCATTTATGTATGTATTGTTGGTAGCATTTCCATTACCGCAAATTACGTTATTTACTGAACATATAAAATCGTATCCTGGATTCTTTTTTAATAGAGAACATAATTTTTGGAACGCCATTTCCCCCACCTTTCCTGGTGTGTTTTTTAAAGATGTATACACTTTTTCCACAATTTTCATACTTTGGTTTAATTTTAAACCTATATTTTCTAATTGTTCTATTGCACCAGCAATAATTTTAAAGTGAGGTTTTAATGTACAAGAGTTCATTTTTAACGTTTGCTTTATTCAGGAATTTTTGAGCTTTTTTAATGCTTTGTGCATTTGTTTTTTTCAAATGACACAACCTAAAAATATTCAATATAAGAATGATAGTAAACAAACCATTATATATTTACTGGCTTGTTTTAAAACATGAAAGTGTTCTGCATTAAACAATGCTGCTTGAATCCAAGTGCCCCACCTGGTTAATACAGGTTCAGGTGGGAGAGGTGTATTTGGTAAACTGTTTTTATAAAACTCTACACTTATTGGTGCTTTACTTAACATTGCTAATTATTCCATTGGCATCTGGATAATTCAGTCTAATTGTTTCAGACACTAAATGTAACCCATGTGCCATACATGTTAAGTGTGTTATATTTTCATAAAACACCTTCAAATTAGTACCAGTTTTGATCATGTATGAAGCACCATCTGATACAAACCATTTAACTTTTTTGTGTTCAGTTCCTTTTGGCCACAATAAAGCTGCAAATTAACAATTAAATAAATTATAATAATTTCAATGCTTAAAATTATCTGTAGCACACCCAATGATTCATTTATAAATCTCGAGATTGTGTTGCTATTAGTTTTATCAAGCTGCTTCAAAGCTCGTAGAAATGGACGGCCAGCTTCTTCAGAAGATAACTTTCCAATTACTTACTAAATGGGCTATGTTTCTTCCTAATCTGTCTAATTTATTTAATTACCTGTAAATTATAAAATTTATCTTAAAAAGTGTTTAAATAAAAACTCTAGTGCTTACCATGTCGTAATCTTTTGGTAAATAATTTTTTCTCAGAGTACTTTCTGAGGGTAAATACCTTCCTGTATATTTACGCATACAATTTTTAAACTCAGGACCACTAACTTTATTCCATGGAATGTTTGCTGCGGTAAATGCCCTACATAAATCGGTGCAAAAATGCGTAAAATCATTGTTGGAACTAATGTTTAATAAAGTCTGTTTACTGGATTTATTCTTGTTCTTTTTATGTGCATCGCCACTGCCGTGTTGTTCAAAGTGTGTTTTTTTTTCGCACTTAAACTAGGAAACAAAAATGTGAACATAATTCAAGCTTCAGTATTTTAAATGTTCACTTACAATTTTTCCACACACTTGCAGAATAACTCATTGTCTCTGGTTGAAGAAAATTAGTGTCCAAATTATTCCCTAACCATAATTTGATTTTAACTTTCATGGATGATTTTACCTTAGGCATTTTGAGGATTCTTTACTGTATGGACAAAAATCAAAACCGGCCCCAGCACACTCACTAACACACAAAGACACTCAGTATCACTAACAATAAACTTCTGAAATAAAATGTTTTTTCAGAGATTCACCTCCTTCCGGCTATAATCTAAATGAAATGCAGGCCAGCGGTGTCAGTTGGCGACACCAACCCGTACCATTAAACTCAAGGGCGTTGTTTACAACCCATTTTTACACAATATGTCAGCCAAAGCAATAAATTCACGGAAAGTCTCTATTGTGCAAGCACGTCCGCTTCGTTGGTCATGGAATCCTATTTTAAGCCTTTTAAAATTTACAATTAGGTCGTTTAATTAACACTTTAGGTCTCTAACGGTAAATTAGGCATTTTAGGTAGTAATAAATGGGCGTTAAATAAACAGAATTTTTTAAATTCGGATAAAAATGTAAATTTCGTTGCAATGCCTGAAGGACATAGATATAAAAGGGCAAAAAACCTAAGATCCAAACCCTACTGATTATAAGCTGTTGGGGTTTGGATTTTCAATAGATTATTATTATTTTTAATTACTTATTGCTGCTTCGTTTTTACTTCCCGAGCGTAAGCGAAAGTATAGTAATCGAGTCCATTGGACGAATGGCCACGTTTATATTTTCTAGACGTTTCATGACCCTTACAGTATGAAAAATGTAGTCTCTCGTTTCCGTCTATCTGTTTGTCTGACTGTCTGTCTGTCTGCCTGTCTGTCTGTCTGTCTGTATCCATTTTTATTAGACACGTAATCTCCGAAAGTGCTGGACCGATTGTTGTTAAATTTTGTACACATAACTAGAAGTATCATGTAGATGGTACAAGATACTCATATCAGGGTGGTTTGCTAATCCGCTTTGAGTTTTTTCCTAATCGCCCAAATTTTTGCAAAAACATAATGCACGGTATAATAGTAGTTTACCATTACCATAAAACATGCCGGTCGTAGCCTGGTGGTTGAGCTTGAAAAATACGGACAAACTTGGCTCTCAGTTTTTTCATTTCATTTTTCTCTCGCACTTTTTCGAAAACGTGAGAATACGCCCGCCTTTATTAAATGTAATGTATTAATTAAGGCGTAGATTAAGTGTACAGTTGCTAAAGTAGGAAGTAGGTTAATAATAGGATGTTAAGGAACGACACTGCGCATCTGCGCATGGGGTAGGTACTGATGTTCTTTGCAAGGACTCGCTCTCTTCGAGACAGACAGTCGAGTAGGTAAGACATGAATTTGTGAGTGGCTCAATAATCACAAATCAACACATGCTCGTTTTATTGATACTTATCAAAAAGCAAACATGTTGCTCCGAACCAATAGAAAATCATGGTCTTTCCTGAAAATCAATTCTTATTGGTTGAAAACGTCATTCACAAAGCTGTGGTTTCTAGAAATCGTTTGGTTGCTACTATATTAAGACGTAATCACAAATAGTTGCTATATTGTATTTGTTGTTTATTGTACTTCAGGGGCGAGTAAGTTCTTTCCAAATAATCTTAACACAACTTTTTGATTTTAATCACTTCGCCGGACCATTACCTTCTAAATCAAAAAATCATTTACGAAGACCTACGAGGGTTCAAAAAATTCAGAACATCAAAGTGTACTAGAAACCACAGCTTAACTTACCAACCTTTGGCAAACGTTGTAAGAATTAACCACATTTTGAAGACGTAAAACATTCCACAAACTGATGCAAAGCTACACAACCAAACGAAGATGGCTTTATCGAAATGGAGAAAGGTTTTTCTTATGAGTCCAAATCCGAAAGTTATTCTAAAATTAGTTGTTGTTTTACTGTTGTTTCTATTCGTTCTTTTACCTTCCTGTTATGAAGTACTCTCTTTCCAGTGTGTGGATAGAAAAACAGATGAAGAAGATGGCCAAGAAATTGTAAAGATTTCGAGTCTGAGAATGGTCGAATATGTCGGTCAGTACGGAATTCCGAATAACGAATTTCTTTTCTGTTTTACTAAAAAAGAACCAGATTTGGGGGTCATCTGTGATTCTCTTAATACGTACGTTTTTTCCTTTTTGGGATACATGATTAATTGACAAATGAGTAAGCGCTATGTAATTTTAAAATAAATTTAAAGCTGTTGCTTTTCAGGTTTATAGATGTAATTTTTTTTAATAAAATAAGTGTAAAATTACAAGAAAAACTGGTACAAGATTAATTAATTGTATCAAATACATTAAATCAAATTACACAAAAAAGTCTGTAGAAGTACGATTACAATACCTCAGGGGCCAGATATGTGGTCCTAGCCTACTTCCTTTTCATAGTCGTGCACTTATTGTATATCTGCCACAATTTCTTGAAAGATGTAGCGATTTTTGTTAACATTCAAACGAAAAAATAAGTTAAAACCGACTCGATTTTTTTTTTTTTTCAAAAAATGCATATACACACAGATTTGCTTCTAAATTAACCCCCTCCAAAGTGTCGTATTTGTTTTATTGTAAAATGAATAAAACAATTGTTTGTCAACATTTTTTTCGCACTTTTTCCCTATACACAATACCTGGTGTTCCCAGGTAGATCAGGCAGACTGTTCATTATTTACTCATATTTTCTATCGAAACTACCAGGTAGAACTACAAAGTGCATCAAACACTTCATGATTTCCGTTTAAAAGTTGACGGAAAATGCGTAATCTCTGACAAGTGTCAGAAAAACAGTATCTTCGTCGTTAACAACAAAGACAACCGGGGTTTGGGAGCTAAATATATCTACACATACAAGTTACTTAATGTGTTATTTATTGTTAATTAAATCAGAAAAATCAGGTAGTTTGTTACACTAATGCATTAAGATAGATATTTTTACACATTCCAATGGTCCATAATTTTACCGATGTCATTTCTTATGGTAAAATACATCTTACATCTCATCTCAAATAAGATACTACTGCAATTATAGTTTTCAAAAATGGTTTTCAATAGCAGACTGTCAAAATCAGCGTCCCTGTTGGCCCTCAGATGTTCCGCTATGTTTAAAATAAAAGCGTTATAATCGGGCCAACAGACTTTGTTCATATTTCTTTCTTGTAAAACTGTGATGATAAATAATCTTACACTCAATATCTGATTTATGAACTCTGCCGAAACAAAGAGTGAGTGTTCTGTGGTCAGGGAAACTGGTTCAAACATCAGCATTTTGTCTGGGCAGAGTTTTACACTATAATTTTTTAACACACATAAAATTCTTCTATACGATATTTGCTGGATTTCACTCACTTTATTCTGGATTTTCTTAGTGAACTGGACAAATTCTCTCAAGTTGAAATCGATGTATTCAGTTTCAGTCAGGTTGTACAATCTACATACAACCTCACCTGTAGGCATTTTAAATCCTACAGTTACACTAGCATCTCCAGAGGGCGAAAGTTTGAAAGTATTAGGGTTCAAGAGTAGATTCTTCTCTCTAGGTATGTGCAGCATTTCTTCTTTTCGTCGTTCTTCCGCGGCCAACCGTAATTCGTGCTCTTCAATAGCTTTATTAAAAATATCATCTTGGTTGTCGTTCAGCTGGCTCTCCTCCAACACACTGGCTTTGTTGTTGTTGATTGGTGGAATACATCGTTCGATCACATCATCAATGACTTCCTCCAAACTGGAACTACCAACATTCCCGGCTTCTTTTACACTATCACCATTACTGTCGCCGACTTTCACCAAAACTTTGCTCATAATTTTCAGCTTTTTCGACTTATGATCGTCGAAGTCGGTGAAGATTTTCACGTCCGTGCTATATTGAGTAAAACCACGTTTTCCAGACATTATTTTTTCTAAAAATAAATAACTTATAACAAATTACGACTGAAATAACAACGACGATAATGACGTCAATAAAAACAAGGAGAATTAGCTATTACGTGTATTCTTAAATCTACACTTTCACCACTTAGATGGGATGTTGTATTTTCTGAGCCTGATACTGGTACTTAGTTAGGGCCCTGCACTTTCTAAAGGGAGCGGCAAATTAGAGCTCGCTAGAAATTAAAGGTGTGTCAAAATGCACTAATTGCTACTATGCTACTGACGATAACGTATAAATTTGAAGATGAGATGAGATTAAAGATTATTCTTATCGTTATCAGAATTATCAGATTGTCAAAGGAGACAAATTTATAATGTTCAATTTAAAAAAAAAAAATATTCCAACAATCAACTACCTACATGATTTGTCGAGAAACCTTGACCACATTTGATAATATTGAACGACTCTTTAAAGAGCTTGCAATCATGGCCACAGAGTTGGGAGTCACTACCAAAGGAAAAAAGCGGTTTAAGTTACTTGAAAACAAATTATGAACGATTCGAAAGACAATTAAATTTCCACAAGTACGTCTGAAGTCGGAACTGGTTAACCTGAATATGCTGAAGGATGATTTCGACGGTAAGATTAGTCAAACATTGGATAAAATTGAAAAAAGTCCGGTCACGTTTCCAATCTGCCTATTTCATGAAAGATCACTAATAAGTTCGATACAGATTAACAAAGACGTTGAAAGAAATATCTTTAAAAACTCTGTCTAGTAGAAACATAGACGCTTTGGGGTTGCTGTAGATGTAAACAATGTACAAAGACCAAGATTTTTCCTCGATGTACATAATGCGAGACGTTTAGATATATTTAATGGCAATAACTAAACAGATAAATTAATTTTCAAGATTCTTTTGCAACTGAACAGATGACGTGAAATGGTTTTGTAACCACAAATATAATTGGGTGTCATCTGCAAAATATATACCTACATACGCTAGATTTAACACAATATGGTAATTTATGAAATGCTTGTATTCCAAATCACGATACACCACCTTTTCGTCATTTAAATTGGTGCTCTATTTGACTGATTGTGTAATTCATAAGTGTTTAAGCCAATCAAAATATTTCATTTTTTTAGAAACCGATTTTTTAATAATAATCGATTATGCGGTTGACCATGATATAATCGATTTTGTGTTACGTTAGGTCTACTTTGTGCAAAAATCAAGTTTTCAGTTTGATAGTTTCTGTAGTTACGGGGGACGCAAGAAGTAAATAATCTAGAACGTGTGCAAAACGAATCGTTTTGGTACAAATTCGACCGAAAAAATTGAGGAAGTGATAGAAAATTAAAACCCGTGAATATCGTGAAAATTGAGACATATATTTGGAAACAAATTGAAGACTTTTGCCAACAGCGAAAATACGAGCTGTGAGCTGAGACGACCAATGAAGAAGTGGAGACTGTTTTGAATGATTGGGCATTGTGAAACGAAAGTATGGGTCTGATAACAAAAAAGGTGTTGCGAAAACTGTATGTAGTGTAAGTGCTAAATTTATTCAAGAAAAATACTTTAAAGAGCACAGTCGGAAAATGGACCTATTCAAAGATTTAGTATTTGAAGGAGCTCGTAAAGCCCGCTAAAAAAAAAGTAAAAGTAGTGACAGCGGTGTGATCGCGTCTCCCAGTTTTTCACCGAATTTCTAGTGATTTATTTGCTTTTTTTTGCGACTTTGGCATCTACTTAACAGGTATTGTACGCTGAATGTATTGGTGAATTACTTGAGTCCTGTCGCCTCCCTGCTCTTATTTAATTACCTGGAGGTCGGTGGTTCCTGAATATTCTACTACTTCTTATCGCTACTTTTTGTCGGTCATTTTATCAGCACATTTTGTTTTTGCGTGTGAGGCGAAGTACTGTGGCGTTAGTTTATCGATTAAATAAATAAATCTCTCCTCTGTTTTTTTTCCTCAATAAACCTACCCGTGGCCCGCTTGTCTGCTTTATAGTTAGTCACCCTGACCGGCCCCTGGGTGCTGAAGAATTTTGTCTCCCTGCTCATCCTATCTCCTGATAAAAATGAGTTCATGTGCAAATCAATGCAGTGTTGATAACAAAAACGCCCCAACGATTCCATGCGATGTGTGCCAAGAGCTTCTCCATTTCAAATGCGCTGGGCTGCCTGACAATGATGTCAAATTTACTCGTAATAAATCGAAATCCATTAAAGTTGTATGCAACTCGTGCAGCAATAACATAGCTCAGTTCAAAGACATTAAGACGCTGATCTCTTCTATTCGCAGTGATTTTAACACTGCTATTGATAACCTTAAGGCTAGCTTTGAAGTTTTGACAAGTCAGAAAACAAAATCTTGTCTTGTTTAACGTATCTGAACAACCGATTAATCTGTCTCGCGATGAAGCTCTGATACGTGACCGTGACTCTGTCAATAACATTCTCTTACAAATTAATTTAGCTTACGACGTTAGCAGTGGATCAATTCAATGTATGGGAAAATATTTAACAGGTAAAAATAGGCCTGTTAAAGTCCTTCTTAAGAGTGAACAAGAGGTACAAAATATTATTCGTTTCGCTAAGCAACTAAAAAATTCGACTCAATATAAACATATATCTGTTTCGTTTGACCGCACTCCAAGGCAGATTGAATACTACAAGCTATTGAAAGATGAATTGTATCTTCGTACTACAAACGGCGAAACTGGCTTGAAAATTAGATATGTTAAAGGCGTTCCAAAAATTTTAAACTAGTACAGACACCCATTTATTGCCGCAGTTCTTCACTTATACTCTACCAAAATGTTCGTGGTTTAAGGTCAAAAATCTCAGATTTCTGTAATACTGTTCATGAAAATGATTTTGATTTAATTGCATTAAGTGAAACTTGGCCTAATTCCGATATTAATAACTCAGAGCTGTTCTCTTGTAATTACACTGTCTTTCGAAAGGACTGGAATGTATTCACTAGAGGTGGTGGTGTACTTTTAGCCGCCAAGAGTTCGTTTAAGTGTAGCGAAATAGATATCAGCGATATAAATATTGCTTTTCCCTCTATAGACTTATTATGTGTGAAAATTAGCGATAATTGTAACAATAAATTATTTGTATTTGTGCTATACATACCGCCTGCTACTTCTCTCCCTTCTTTTAAACTCTTCTTTGATGCACTCAATCAGCTAGCACCACTGCGTTGCAAAAATCAAGTTATCTTTCTTGGTGATTTCAATGTTCCTGAATTCGTAACTAAGAGTAATAGCGGATTTTGTACTACTTTGAATATATTTCAGAATTTCAACAACCTACAGCAATTTAATACTGTTGTAAATAGATATGGAAGGCTCTTGGACTTGATATATTCTAATCTTGAATGTTCTGTTGAAAATGCTATCTGTCCATTGGTCGACGAAGATTTCCATCACCCAGCGCTTGAGCTGAATCTAAATCTCCAATCTGGCAAACCTTCCAGCTCTTTCCGTATGAATAATAGTGTTTCGAACTACAATTTCAAGAAAGCGAACTTTCCGCTTCTCTATGAACTAATTGCAAACGCTGATTGGTCCTTTTTGGAAAATATTAACAATGTCAATTTAGCATGTAAAAAATTCTATAATAAATTGTACAGTCTTTTTGATTTATCTGTTCCGAAATCTGTTTATCGTGATCGCCGGTACTATCCACCTTGCTTCTCATCCGAAATTATAAGCAACTTACGCCTTAAATGGTCTACATACAAACAGCATAAAAAACTCAGAAGTAACCAGTCCTATCACCTATTTAATACTCAGCGTGCAAAATGCACGAAACTTATTAGAGAGGCACACAATCACTACCTTTGATCCCAGCAAATTTTGGGCTCACATCCAAAACAAAAAAGGTTCTACGCGTATCCCGGGAGTCATGTGGTATAACAATGAAAAAATCTGAAATCCTGCAGACATTGTTAACGCCTTTGGCAATTACTTTCATAGTGTATTTATACATTTTACTCCCATCGACCCAGTTTCCTTATCACTTCAACAAGGCGTCTTCAATAATACCGTTTCAGTAAATGAGATCTCCGTTGATGATGTTCGAAAACACTTGCAGCGATCCAAAAATTCGCAAACTACAGGTGTTTATGGTGTTCCCAGTTTTCTCCCACGTGATTGTGCTTCTGTTTTTGCTGCTCCCTTAGCTAAAATTTTCAATCGGATGTTGCAATATTCAACTTTTCCAGATATATGGAAAAAAGCCTTTATATGTCCTGTACTTAAAAAAGGCAAAGCCAATGACGTTACAAACTGCAGACCGATCTCTTTGCTGTGCAATTTTGCGAAATCTTTCGAGTCAATTATTTACGAAACTATTTACAATTCAGTCAAACCTTTTATCTCTCCGTATCAGCAGGGCTTTATGGCTAACCGTTCAACGGTCTCGAATCTTGCTGTTATCTCCCAGTATTTGTCGGATTCCCTGGATGATAAATGTCAGGTCGATGTAATATACACTGATTTCCAAAAAGCTTTTGACAGGATTGATAATTACGTTTTACTGGAAAAGCTCAGCCGTTTCGGTTTCTCCGAACCACTATTAAAATTGATTCAATCCTATTTATTTGATAGAGAATTCAGATTTAGATATCGTAATTTTACCTCTGTTGCATTTGTACCCACCTCGGGCGTGCCGCAAGGTTCCAATCTGGGTCCATTGCTTTTTCTATTATTTATCAACAATCTTGTAAAAAGTCATTGTTCGCCGACGATTTCAAACTCTTTTCAATCATCAATTCAGTCAGTGATTGTTTTGTTCTCCAACACAATTTAAACTCTGTGACCCGCTGGTGCGACAGCAATCGTCTCCAACTCAATATTTCCAAATGTAGAGTAGTCTCTTACTCAAGAAAACAAGACATTATCACTTACTCGTACAATGTAAATGGTATTCTAATGGAGCGTTCACAAACATTCAAAGACCTAGGTGTAGTTTTTGACAGCAAATTTGCTTTCATTGACCATATTAATACAACCGTTAACAGTGCTTCTAAAATATATGGTTTTATCTATAGTCGCTTTTCCAATGTTGAAACTATTAGATTATTGTTTGGGTCAAGATTGGAATATGCTTCCTTAATCTGGTATCCTATTTATGATGTACATTGTCTTAGTTTAGAATCGGTTCAGAGACGTTTCCTCAAATTTATGGTATATTTAGAAGATGGTATTTACCCTCTGAGAGGTTGTGAGCAATCCCTATTACTGTCGCGTTATAATTTACTATCATTAGAAACTCGTCGTAATATAATTGCTGTTAGATTTGTATATAATCTCTTTCATAACAAAATCGATTGTGCTGAGCT